TTAGAAGGGTAAAAGTAGGATTGATTTAATGAAGAATACTTTTCTCATGTGATACTTTCCTTCCTGTGATCAAACAGCTGCTTGATCTGCCAGGAATTATTGAAGGGGCCAAAGATGGTAAAGGCAGAGGACGGCAGGTCATTGCAGGTGAGTGTGTTAGACCTGGAGACAGCAGCCTATCACTGGTTCCTTTAACACAGTACAGGAGAATGAAGGGTTCACTCACTGTTCTGATGTCTTTAAAAAGCTGGATTGTTTGCTGGACTTGAGCTGTCTGCTGAGAAGCAGTAGCTGCTTTCATACGGTTATTTTCCATTCTGGCTTTGTGCACTGGTTGGGTTTTTGTTCTGCATTGACACTTCAGTGAAAGCACACTGCCAGTTTTGCAGGCAGATGTGATCCCGTCCTAAACAAGGCTGCTGTTTTTATTTCCTCACCCAGTTAATTGTCCTCAGTCTGGTGTCTGAGTGGAGACAGGAAGATTTTTTCCACCCTTTGTCATTCTTACAGCACGTAAAGATCTATCACTGCTTGGTCAGCACAATAAACTTCAGTCCTACACTGGTCTGGCTTTCAGGGGTTTTGTAGTGTCATCAGTCCACCGAGCCATCCTGTGGTTGTTTTGTCTCAGTTGTGTGAGCATGCTTTTTGAGAGGTGGCTTTCTTTTTCTGATTCTTAGTTGCTCGAACCTGTAATCTCATTCTGATTGTTCTGGACGTGCTGAAACCCCTTGGCCACAAGAAAATAATTGAGAATGAACTGGAGGGATTTGGAATTCGTCTGAATAGTAAGCCCCCCAATATTGGCTTTAAAAAAAAGGATAAAGGAGGCATTAACCTTACAGCCACAGTAAGTTGGAAGTTCTCTTTAACCAAAATTAAAAACCAAATTGCTTGAAGAAAGAGGCATTTGTAGTTGATGGTATGTCTGGGACCATGCTGTACTGTGACTTCTTTAGGAGCTGAACTGTGTGCAGTGCTGCAGTCAGTAACTTTCCTTAGAGGCCATCCACACCTCTCCTGGAGCCTGAGCACTTCCTTGCCCTCAAAACAGAGCCTCAGTTGCTTTCCACACATAACAAGTTTGAGATCCAAAGGAGAACGTGCAAAAAATGCCTCTTACCTGGTGGTTACAATGTTCTTCCCGTGAGGATTGCTCAGAGTTTCAGGCCTTGCAACCCATTTACCTGAATCTTTAGAAGCATAGAAATAGCCAGAGATACCAAAAGTCACAACTCTGCACTCTAAGTACCTAAAGTGTAGTTGTCTGGGCTCTGAACTAGAAGATACTTGGGTTTGTGTTGCATCTGGTCCCAAACTGAAAGGAAGCACTACTTCTGAAATGTTGGATTGCAGCTCTCAGTGGAGCATTAATATAAATGAAGCTGTTAAGATTTAGGTCTGTTTTTCCCTCTCCTCAGGCCAGCTGTGGTGAAATGAGAGTCACGTCCAATAACTTAAAATGCAGCTGTTCTTTCTAGTAATGTCTATGCAGTGGTTGCTGGGTGACAGCAATGTTTATTATAATACTTGATTTGGCTGTTAGCTCTGCCATTCCTTAACAGTGTGTCTGTCTCTGTTCAGTGTCCTCAGAGTGAGCTGGATACTGAGACAGTGAAGAGCATCTTAGCAGAGTATAAAATCCACAATGCTGATGTCACCCTGCGCAGCGACGCCACTGCCGATGACCTGATTGACGTTGTGGAAGGAAACAGGTACTGTTGGCTCCCTGCAGTCTGCATTACAAAGAAAAGAATGGTCCTTTGGGTTTGCTTCCCACAGCAGCTGAGCCAGCAATGTGGCATCAACATAGAGATAAGCTTTTAAAAAATATTTTTTCTTTGCAGTGAAGGTAGCAGTGTGCTGCTGGCAGGTTGCTCTAACAATTTCTTTCTCTTTCCAGGGTTTACATCCCATGCATTTACGTCCTAAATAAAATTGACCAAATTTCCATTGAAGAACTAGATATCATTTACAAAGTACCCCACTGTGTACCAATATCTGCTCATCATCGCTGGAACTTTGATGATCTGCTGGAGAAAATCTGGGACTACTTGAAACTAGTCCGAATGTAAGTCAAAATTGCTGCTGTCTGTGGAGTTAAGTGCATGGCTGAGACTGAAAAAGGTCTCAGGAATGGATGAAGAATATTTTACAGTGCTTTTCTACCAACTGGTGTTTGCTTTGTAACCCAGAAATTGTGTTCATCTTAGCTGTTTTGTGATAGCCACAAATGCTGTTTTGAATTTGTAGGGGAATTAAAAGAGAACCTTGTGAAACCAAGACCAAAGCATATCTTAAAAAAATTCCTGAAAATATGGAACTCTAGACAAACTTCGTGGTAACACTGTGATTCCAGATGTAATCATCTTTTCAGTCTGTCATGGATGCAGCTGTCTTGACAGAACTTAGTTCTTAATCTAGAATTTTAGATATTTTTAGTACAAGTTATTCCAGGTTTACCTCATAATTCTTAGGCATTTTTGGATGAACTTATGAATGAATTTACTAATATTCATAATGCAGTAATTGTTGTCTTTTAAATTTATATCTATCTTGTAATAATATAGAATATACTGTGAAAAGGCATTTCACAATCCCCTGTATCTGTGGTCTAGGTATCTATGCTATAGACTTCATCAGGTGCCTTTTTTAATATATGTTGAGGTTTTCACAGAAAAAAAAAGCTAAGTTGGAACCATAATATTAAAGATGTTCTTTTCCAACAACTCTTGCCATTTGGCTTTTTTTAAAGCACATTCAGAAAGCTCACAAGTGAGAAACGTTTGCAGTTATAAGGGAGAACCCACTGCAGCCACTGGCTGCCCAGATGCATTTTCAGCTTAGGTCCACCAAATGTTTTGCAGTGTATCCATTGTCACCACTGGAGTAGTGGGATTTGGCCCACATGCTGGGGGTGACAGTGCAAATCACTGATGAAGTATCATAATGGGTTTGAAAAAGCAAGTTTTGGTATTGACTGATGGTTCCATCTGTGTTACAGCTACACAAAACCTAAAGGGCAGCTCCCAGACTACACCTCGCCTGTGGTACTACCTTACTGCAAGACCACAGTGGAGGATTTTTGCATGAAGATCCACAAAAATCTCATAAAAGACTTTAAATAGTAAGTATTATCATAAAAGCATACATAGAAAAGAAAATAACTTGCCTTCAGAGATTTCATCCTCTTCTAAACTAGAAGGGAATGCCAGGACTTTTTTTTAATGTTGAATAAATCTGCCTATGATAATCAAACTTAATACTTCAGTTGCTGTATTTCATGTTCTCATGCTCTTTCCTACATAAATGTCCTCTGTGTACTTTTAAATTTTGCTATTTAAAAGTAGCACTAGACACAGCATTGCAAAGCATTGTCCCATGCACTTGGGTACTCAGGACAACTTCAGGCTTTGTTCTGAGCTGCTTCTAACCCTGGTTCACACCAACTACTCAGCCAGGTACTTGTAGGACAGTAAAAATAGCTCTGAAGCATTGCTTTCTGTATTAGCTGTGTGACAGAAATAGCTGCTATTCTGCTTGCATATCATACTTCTAAGCCTTTTAAATTTGATTTTTCTTCTTTCAGTGCGCTGGTCTGGGGTTCGTCTGTTAAACACAACCCTCAAAAAGTTGGAAAAGACCACACTCTTGAAGATGAGGATGTTATTCAGATTGTGAAGAAATAAAGTTATTCTTACATGGTTTGTTGCTGTGCCTGAAATTTTGTCATTAATTGTAATTAACACCCAGCCCCAGTTTTGATTTAGAAATGGTCTTTTATTATAGCACTGTGCTGCATGGTAAAAGTGATGTTTCTGGTCAACTTACACTGCAGGGGCTTGTTCCAGCAGAACTTGCAGATGAAAAACTCTGGTTAAATGACTTTCACAAGGACAAAATCTTACAAGAAGCTTTGATTGCAGGGATAAGGTTCTGCTTCATGTACGTGTCTTTCCAAATTAGAAGAAAGTTCACACATCAGGAATTATTTGTTCTAAGAACAAAACATGAAAAACAGAGGCTAAAGAATCCTATCTTACAAAACAATGCTAGAGGACAGAGTCCCAGCTGCCTTTATCTCAAAGTGTTCCTGTTGGAATACATCAAGGCTATTAATAGTCCAGCACTAGTGGAAAAGCTGGTCAGTTCTGCGCAGGAGCAGTTGCTTTTTTAGTTGTTTAGACTAGTGGAAGTGAGCTAGCTGCTTGTGTCTGTATCACTGAAAGCTAAGTTTTCTTAAAAGAATTTCCTGCCTAGATAAAGAAGGAAGGTGCTCAAGAGAAGCAGGTTGCTCTTAGAGTGGTTCTCTTGATCAATAGAGATAAATAAAGAAGCTTTTAGCTCATGTCAAGAGTTTTTATCAAATGCATCAACCTCTAGCATTTGCTCTCCTATGAAAAGGAAGTAGGGGCATTTAATTATAGGGGTGTTTATTTAGATGCATAAAAACCACTCCCCCTCATGTTGTTATACATTCAAGAAGACAGTGATTAGAGACACCCACTCAAGCACTAAATCCTTGGACCAGCGCTTGCTATTCAGCCTGGTAAGGAAACATCCAAGCCTTGGTTCTACTCCAAGCATTTCCACCTCTACTTTTTCTTGATCCCTGCAGAAGTGAGGTGAACTGCTGCAGGGCTGCTTGGTTGATGTGCCTGAATAGAAGGGGCAGAAGATGAGGCTGTTGCTCCGATTGAGTTTCACTGCTGTTTTCTCACATTCACACTTTGTTTAGAGCTGGTTAGTTCTACACGTTCTAATACACTGAGCTTCATTCCTCACACTTAGCTGTGACATTTAAATGCAGCAATTCCAGCCTGGCTCATCAGTGAGGCCAGTCACTCTTATCAAAGCAGACTGATCCTCCCCATCCCTGGACTAGTTGACAATTTCTGCATCTCAACTCAAACCCAGATTCATCTTACTCACAAGAACAGTTCTAAAAATTAATCAATATTCTGACATAATTTAGTACAAGAGCAATTGATACAGAGAGAGCTGGTAGAATCAACTTTATTTACAGAATGTTACTGGGAAAGTGTCAAGTTAAAAAAAGTATGAAAACAATCTTACAAGGACAAGCTGGTGATTGCATGTTTTACAGGGATTGTTTTGGGAACAACCACTAGAAGTATGGGCGACCTCCAACAGCTTCCACGTTGGAGATTGCAGCTTGCTATTTCCATACAACACTGTCTCTGCTGGACTGAAACAAACGCACCACAGCACACTGGCAAGGGTTATAAAATACAGACAAGTGATTTTTTTTTTCCCTGCTGCTGGTTTTGCTTTCAGTGAGACCTAAGAAAGAGCAAGTCTGTGAGAGTTCTGGTTTTACTTTCACCTCTTAAAAGAGCACAATGGCCTAAGCTAGGTAGGACATGACAGCAGAACTAGACTCAACACAAGTGAGGGAGTGAAGTGAGGAACCATGCACAAGAATGGAAAAGAACATTTAACTCTTCAGGGAAGTGAAACAGGCTTAAAAGGAACATCGTATTTTAAAACCAAATATACACAGTAAGATCACAAAACTACCCCATCCTCCCCCTTTCAAGCCACAGAACAAGACTCCAAAGGCAAGTTTCACAGTAATGGCATCACCAGATGCACACTAGATTGAGGACAGTTCTTGGGACTCCCTTCTATGAACAGCACTGAAGGCAGTACAGAATACCCACAGCTATGACTGAGGAGTTGAAGGGTGAGGATTCCAAGGCTCCATTTTGATGACCTTAATAACTGGCTTGAAAGATTAAAACAAGGAAAATACTGCAGCTAAATAAGGACCAACAGCAGCCCTCTTGAAAGAGCAACAACCAGTAGGTACCTACAGACTGAAGATCTGGCTTTATCATGACTGCACCAGGTTCCATCCTCAAGGCTTTTGAAGACTAAACAATTCTCTCATTTGGTGGCAAGAGTCACAGGGAATCAGACCTCTGTTACATAGACAGCAAGATGTGGGCTTTTACTTTGAACTTTAGCTACACTGAGTGCACAGTACATGACAGAAAAATGTGAGAGGGAGACCTAGAGATGAGCAGCAAGAAAAGGCAAAGCAACTTCATCCTGTTCACTCACACTTAGGATATGCAACTTTAATCTTAAAGAAAGTCCCACACGTACAATGGAGAAAGGTCCAAACCATAGGCACAACTAAAGCTCAACTGTTATCAGCTACTCTTATGTACAGCTGTATAGATTCAAAAAGGCTATTCTAGGTGTGTATGTACAAAAGATTGTTTATACACAAATCTGTACAGAAGGGTCTATACATGTAGTTTTCTGCAGAAGGAATCCATAGCTGCTACCTCTACACTAGAGAATATCAGCACTTCATTCACATATCTTACAAAAACAAACAAAAAAATAGACACTTCCAGGATTAAACTGGCTTTGTCGTGCATCTAAATTTCTTCAGGCTTCACTATCCAAGCCATAATGGATCTTTTAGTCTTGATGCAGACATGAGACCAGGACAGGTGCCATGTGCTTTAGTCTCTCAAAAGGAAATTCTGCACAGGAGTGCTAAAAATAAAAGCCCCAAAAAACCAAACAGAGGTGAAGTCCTGACTATGGACATTCCCATCCAGTCTAAAGAATCGCAAGTGTTCCACCCAGTGGTCACTGTTCACTGCCGGAATTCCAGTTCATCTACACTGATGACTTTGGATGGCATGGATGGAAGAGGCTGCTGCAAGACATCTGAACCAAACCATTTTGCAAGGCCAATGGGAGAGCCACTTCTCTGGCTGGGGCGATGGTCAAGCTGTGTGTGCCCGTGAGATAATCCAGTCCGAGGCAGCACATTTTGAGGGGTTGTTTGTGCACCAGCAGGTGATCCCTGTGCTCCAGAGCCTGTGAAATGTAAAGCTATTAGAGGTGGAGTAACACCCAGCACAGATTTGCCCTCGAGCTATCACCTGATAAGGCATGCGAGCTGAATGTGGCTTTTATTCATTCTATGAGCCCCAGGAAGTCCAGGTACCACGTGCTTATTTTCATTAGTACTCCCATAAATGGCCTGACACTGCCAGTTCCGGACACAGACGGGTTTGAAGGGAAGACCAGGATCAAATAGCATTTCCCTGCAGAAGGTGGGTAGCCTGTGGCCCAAGAAGGCTGAAAGCCTGCACACATGCTGCAAGAGTCAGATCTGTCAGTAGCAACACACGTTCTGAAACCAAACACTTCACTTGGATTTTGTTCTGGCATAACAGCTTGCACTGGCCCAAACTACTCCAGACCCACACAACGTCAGTGATCATGAATAACTCAATTTAAAGTAGCTTCCTGCTACCACAGTGCACTCAACACCCCAGAAAATAGCTTTCTGGAAGTCACACTCCTGCTGTCTGTTCTAGCCTACCTGATCGTTGTAGCTGCTGTTGCATCATGGCGAGCTGCAAAGGTGTCCCCGAGCGTGGATTTAAGATGTGATGACTTGCTGTTGGTAGTGGATAAAAAGGCTGGCCAAGGATGGGAGTAGATATTCCCTGCAAGTGAGACAGGTCCACTCCAGGAGGAAGCATACCTGTTGAACACAAGCAAGAAAACTTCTTACCCGATAAGCATAAGGAACTTAATGCAAAACAAAAGGTATGTATTTAGATGGGCTGGAATTTATTGTCTGATTTTAAAGGTAAGTTCTGATATAACAAAGACTACCAGTAGTATCAGTTGTGCTGCTCCTAACAGTCTCAAAGAGAACATGCACAAACAGGGAAGAAAAGTATGGATTACCTGCTTGCAGCAGAGGAAGATGTTGCGGATGGACCCCCTGTGCCATCATTCTCTGGACCAATCCTGGGTGCAGTTGATGAGCAGGTCGTACAAGTGGTACATGGGGAACAAGGGGTACTTGATGAACAGGACGAAGAAAAGGGCCTCCTGGTACTGGGGAGGCCATTGTAGGAGTCTTCCTACCAGCTGATTTGGGCCTGTAGTCTTGCTCTTTGGTGCAACGATTTGCTTGGGTAAGAGGTGTGGAACATGCAGAGCGCTGCAGTGCAGGTAGTTTGGTACCTAAGGTGGGCAAAGTTCCTTGATCTGCATTCTCATAGAACTAGACAGTAGGTTATCTGTAGCTAGAATTGAATACAGCTATTACAGTCCACAGCTAGAGATTGCACCTAATGAAAATTAGAGCTTAATGACTGGATTTGATACTTTGGTTCCAGAACTAGCTGAACTGTAGTCATGTATATTTAATAGTAAGCATCTTTTTTCTGGATGCTTATGGCCAAATTATTTCAAAAAGAGTAATGAGAAGGAATATGTTCCACAGAAATCCCTGTACAGGAAATTTAAATTACTTTAGAATCAGCAGTAACTCCACTTTTAATTCTTTTTTTTCCTTCTTAGGAATATTGACCTGGCAGCATGGATGAGTCAGTGCCAAAGGTGATAAGAGGTACAAGAGATCCTCCCTAGAGAAGATTGTAAGTTGGAGCTGTGCCAGAAGTCTGGCCAAAGATGGTTTTTCAGTTTAGCTGTGTTTGGGGGTTAACAACAGCCTTCTACATCTGACATCTGCTTAGCAAGATTTGTAACACTGAAAAACCTCCAGAAGCTACTCCCACAGACCATCCAGATGAGTTAGACAAGGCCTGAAATACCCTGGCATCAACTACTACAGTGGAGGTATTTCAGCTGGACTGCTACCACGAACTGCAAGCTGCCTCTGCAGCTACCAGTGCTGAAGCACAATGCCATGGTCATTGGCCACATCAGTCTGACTGGGTCAGGCAACTGGTGTTTAACAACCTCTTACATCAGTTTCGGTGACAAAATGCTTCCCTAATCTGCTACACTTAAGAGCTTAATTGGTCTCAGCTTTGACTATTCAGTTGTCTCAAGACAACTAAGTTTTCAATTACTGGTGTAGAGAGCTGTGGAAGCATTATTGTCACTGTGCTTGTTCATCAAGAAAAGTTGCAAACAATTACGATCCAGCACTCTTAGTGTTGCTCAGAAATTGATAGGAAAGAGATTAAACCCCAGCACTACAGGAAGAGTATCCCCTCCATAGCTCTGGCCCCTCCTCCCATAGGCTCCCTCACTTCTTCCTCCTCATCTCCATGGATCAGGAATGTCTAAAGGTAGCCTGGGTGTAACTATGCGCTGGGACAATCTGAGTCTATTCCAAATCCCTTTTGTCTGTGGTACTCATTTAAAGCCATTACAATACCTTCATTTGGTCTCTGATTTTCATCTTTAACATCACTGATTTTCATTTTCCCAGAAACTGGATCCTCTTTGCTTTTCTCTTTGCTCTCATACATCTTGCGAATCACCGAGGTAGGTGTGAAGGAAGGAGACAGCTGCAGAGAACACAGTAAGAAGCAGTGCCTCACCCAGTGCTCATTATCCAGGCCACAGTATCTCAGCTGTGGGAGGGAACCAATTCTAGCACATCCTTTCCATTTAAAGTTCTTTTGAATCAGCTGCTGTGTACCCATGATTTTACTTCACACCTCATTTAATAGCTTTATTCTATAATTTAAGCTTTTTTTTTTTCATTTTTTTGCAAGTCCAATATCAAAATCTGCAGCTATTCTCAGTTAAATATACATTAACAGACTTGAAACAAAATAGCTGAGCTATAGTGTAAGTTACAGCTGTTTCCTCTTTGCTATTGGTTCAGAAGAACAACTCCATAGGAATTCCTGTAGAGCTGCTTCATCTGCATTAACTCAGGGCTGATGTTCTGCAGAGAACTATTGCCTCATTTAGGTTTTCCCCCATTCAGAGTTCCATAGCACCTGTGGAAGTCACTCATTTCAATATAAACCTGTATTACTTGTTTCACTTGGCAGGTGATGGTCTGTGTCAGTCCTGAGCTGCAAGTACTTGAATGATTAATTGGAAAATTTAGATGATAACTGCATTCTACACAGTAGTGAAGACAGATTTTGGCTTTGAGCTTTTACTCATTTTCAAAATGACCCTTGAAGCACCTAGGCATTATTTCAACCCACAGACACTTAGGTCAAACACTTCATACCCAAACACCAGTGTTCTCTAAAGCATCTCACGGCTTTCAGCACTTGTCTTCTTAAAATTTAGGCACCAAAATATGATGGCTTGAGTTTTCATAACCACCTTCATTTGAACATGAGGTCAAGGTAACACTAGAGGTATTTCTTCAGTTTTAGGAAGACAGTGGTCAGAAAAGACCCTTTTCCAAGGTGAAGACATTCAGTTAAGCACAAAAGAAAACTTATTCCTGTATCACATGGCCACAGATATACAACATGGATGTGATAAACTCAGGGGCAAACCCTTCTCCCATCGATTACCACTGCTGTAATCTGGTAACTGCAGACACTTTGACAGTTCTCCCTAGAACCACTGAACATCAGGTACTGACCATGCTCGTAATGGATGCTGCAGGGGCTGGAGAAGATGCATTCCCTCTGTGTCCTGGTGCAGGGGATTTCGTCATTCGCTGCTGCCTGTGAAGGGACAGGGAGTCAGAAACAGCTCTGCTCTTGGCACAGAATCAAAGGCAGCACTGCCAAGAACCATTGCAATCCTGAGTGACTAGGTGCTAGTATCTAGTGAAAGACAATACTCACATTAAAAAAATCAGTTAACAGCATACCCGTTATATTTTGCAGTCAGGTGCTCACCTGTTTCTGTAGCCATCTCTGCTTTTGTCCATTTGTGGTTTACCAAAGCCATGCTGATAGAAATTTGCTGCATGTATGGCCAAGTCATGTGGGAGTGCCAGTCCCTCTAATGCAGCTTGCTGGATCTCCAGGGGACTCATCTGAGGTAGAGTTGGATAAAAACCACACAAGTCAAAGCCTGTATTTGGCTGGGTTTTTTTTAAGATACAGAAGATTGACTGCTACCAATGCCTTCACCACCATCTGCACATCAACAGTCTCTGTTTTATTAACAGGCAATAGAAGTTTCAAAAAAATTTGTACTTCAGGTACTCCAAGGTGAGCCAAATTGCAATGAGGTTTTGAGACTGTATTAAATTAGACTGTGCATCCTCACACTCAGAGTAAACTTAAAAAAGCACAAACATCTGTGTGCAACAGCTAAGAGTTTCCACAAGTTAGCTCTAGACCACAGAAGACAAAGGCATGCAAATATATTAAACAAAAAGCAGTTCTTCTAACCTGTGCAGCAACTGGGCTCATGGGCTTCCTTACACCTGGAAATGGATCACCAAGCAATTGCTGAGAACCTTGTCCAAAACCTAAAGAATATAAAACAGTTGTATTTAAAAGTATTAACAGTTTCTTTCAATACATATCCCAAAGTAAAATAATGCTACATGAATTAAGGATTAATTGTGAAGATTCTCAGCTCACCCCTTAAATCTACATAGAGCTGTCACAGAGCTGGAGAGCTACAAAAGAGGTTCCTGGTAGTGTTTTGTAGTACAAATGGCCAAGCAGTCCATGGGAGTTATTCTTACTCAGTAGCTGAGCACATTATTCCTCACCAGAACTCACTGTGAGGTCTGGGTGATGAATTTAGCGTTAGAGACTAGTAAATGAAAGGGCACTTAGCACTCAAAAAGCAGACACTGCCCTAGCTGCCCACCAAGTGCCAGGAAGTTTTTACAGTTCTGTAAAGAAGTCTTAAAAAAACCTCAAGTAATAAGAACCCACTTTGCAACCAGTCTCACCAATGGGTGAAGAGATTCTGTGGCGCAGGTAATCTGCAGAAGCAGCTCGTGTGGGGAACACGGGTGGGATGGGGGGAGAGGGGGCTCTCTGTGTCAGCAGAGAGGCTGCAGGCTCCAAACCACCTATCAGGCCACTTAAGACATTCGATGAAGCAGGTCTGGTAATAGGTGGACCAAGAAGTTCCTAAGAATAATTAAAGAAAGAACATTCAAAATATGGCAAATTTACACAAACTAGCTCATTTTACTACACTACAGACTGCCCTATTTATAGCAACTTAGAGACAAGGGGACTTGTGCAACCAGATACACCAATCCTGGTTCGCTCAGAATTAGGCACTCAGCAAGCTTTTCATTTTCAAGCTGTAATTACAGAAAATAATACGACAAGACAAATTTTTACGTAAACTGATCTAGTCCCTGGTGCTTTCTTTATAGTACTTGTCAGACTAATGATCCCATAATTGCCTTAAATGCCTTATTTTCAAATAATTTTTGTTTTCCCATTGGGGATATGTTTTAAAGTACTTTTCTCCCCCCAATAAGAATACCTGCAGAATATTCTTTGACAGAGGCTGGCCTGACATCTCTGGAGGTGACATTAAGTGGCTTTCAAGGCTCTGCTAAGAAAATGAAAACACTAAATTAGACATAAATACAACAAAGCTCAATAAGAAACTATCCACATTTGCTTTAGTGACAGAAATAATTTCATCTGTTGTGTTAGAACACTAGTTTATGCAACAGCCAAATAAAATTTCAACAAAGTTAAGGGCTAAACTGGCTCACAGAGCTCCCCTAAGAAAAATGCCCTGTGCTAGATTGCATACAGGTATTTCACTGTGCCTCATTCAAGTTTGGGTCAAATATATGAATTCATGCAATTGTGTAAAGTGGAGATGGAATACTGAGCCATTGGTTAACTGAAAATATATAACAAACTAAAAAGTGTTTGTATGTTAAAGAAATTATTTAAGATATTCTTCTGAGCATCAAAATAGCACGTTAATGTAAAGAGACACACAGAAGCAAAAGTATTGCTTTAAGTCGGAGATCAATCTGCAAATTCTTCACAGGGCAGATTTACATTCTTCACTATCTTTTAGTGAAGTGGGATGAGTCTAAAAGTCCTTGGCCATAGTTTGGCAGGAAAACCACATGCTTTAGACCTACTCAGTTGTTAGAAGTATCTTCTGGTGCCAGAAATATTGACCCACTTTCTGGGTCAAGCATATTGCTTAGGCAGTTAGTGACAGGATGAAATTTCATCCTACAATCCCTTGCAGTCTGAACCTTGCTATCATCTGTTGTTTAATATTAATCTTCCAGCTAACAAGTATTCACTTCAGATTCATCTTAGTACAAGTGCTGTTAGAAGTCAAGTGCAAAATAATAAATTGTTCACTGACATACCTCTAACTAAACAAACGTCACTAAAACTATCTGGGCTTCAGGTAAGGGTTGGTTGTTACCCCCCTGTAAACACAGGCCAGCAGAGCCATTGGCTGCACTTACATTGACTTTGGGCTGTGAAGGCAGAGTCCCGCTTGCCTTCATGCTGCTGACGAGTTTGTTAAACGCAGTCATATCCCCATCCTTCTTCATCTGTCTGGAGCCACTGACATTCAGGGCTTCTTCCATCTGCTCAGCCATAAAGGGAGTGGCAATTTTCCCCTCCTGATCCACTTTCAGACCTTTTAGCCCAGCTTCAACTTCCTCCACTGAAAGTACAACTCCTGAATGTGCTGAGAAATACAGGAGAAATACTGGTAAACCACAGTTCTGTTCTCAAGTGAGCTACTAGTTCTTGTGCAGGAGTTGAATAGAAGTTGTTTGGAAACTAGGAATAGCCAAAAACGTATTTTCTGATACTGATACTAGTTGTCAAACCATAACTGATCTGCATTTAGACTGACATTCTAATATATCCAAATTCAGAGAACTGACATGCACAACTACTGCCATGTAAGATTCCACAAGAACCGGTTTAGACTTCAGCTACTAAATTCTCACTCTCATTTATCCTGAAATAAATGTTGTTGCTACATTTTACAACTTTGCCTGCATTTAATAGAGAATATTCATGTGACGATTGAGTTGGTTTATTTTCTTAATTAGGAAAGTTTCATTTATCTTATACTCCAGGAGATCAGATGGTTTTACAGCCATAGTGCAAGCCATGTAAAATTTCTGAAGCTATCATAAGCAGAAAGAATACATACTTGGAAAATCTAGATACTTTAGAGATTCAGTTACACACTTAAGCTCAGTGTGCATAAAGTTTGAAATAGATTTTTTGCTCAGAAATTAAAGCATCTTCTAGAAAGATTTCACTGGCATAACCAGCACAAGGTACAGTGCTCTCAGCAGTACCTTCTTCTGTATATGCATATACATACACGCATATAAACACCTACTGGTGCCTGACATCAAGGCTAAACATGCTTTATGGATCAGCTAACACACATCACAAGGTATGACACCTTAAAAGAAAAGGAAGAAGAGACAGAAGCATGCCATGGGTTGCAGATGTTGGCCCAAAGAAATAAGATTTACTGTAAATTTGGGCAAGGAGGTGAAAAAAGAAACAATAATGCAGACATGCAGCATAGAACATGAGTAAATATGAAGTTGGTGGAGAGGAAATGACCTGAAAACTCCACAATACTTGAAGGAACTGTACAGCATTTTGTGGGAATGCAGAGCCCCACATCAGGTACTTTTGAGTGAATGGATGTTTCCCCACAGATTTTTTTTTTTTTCCTTCATCCTTGGTTTGTGAGGATCAAAGTTGAAAAAGTTTTTAGTAGGAAAGTCAGACTAAGCAGAACAGAAATAGAAGTACAAATCTTTTAAAAGTGAAATTAAGGAAGTTCTCCACATGTTAGCCAACACGCCCTACTCCCAGACTGGATGCTTAAGAATATTTGCAGTGCTTAGATGCTTTCCTTCCTAGCTGCTTTTCACTAATCAGAGGGGCATCACTTTTTCTTCAGTCCAGTTTACATGGCAATACATGCTGCTTGCCAAAGAGAAACCACTTTGGAATTAGAACTTGAGATTTCACAGAACACATGCATTTTGTACACTCCATGCATGCTATGGGCACAGACATGCAAATTCCTAAGCTGGAGGCATCCTTGGAAAAAAAAAATCAATCCCATTCTCAGGCCACTGTGCAACTTCTTAGATACTGACATTTAGTGGATCAATGTGATCCATCACACTGTCAAGGATGACTGACACTGTCAGTTTTTTGGGAAAGCCAGAGTTTAAATGCCACAGTTTCAGAGCTGACATTACCAGTCACCAGTATGAAAAAACTGCAAATGGCATACACAAAGCTGGAAACTCAGGTCAAGACTTGCATCATCTTATAATTGTTTCTGGCCACTAAAGCAGTCTGATAAAGTGATGTCATCCTGTGATTAGGATGAAAAGAGTCAGTGATGATATTGTCACAATTGAGAGCTCCTGAATACTGAGTTTTTAATACTGTAAGTAAATCTGTAACACTGCCTACTCCTGGATTTGGGCAGTCGAGGTTTCCAGAATACCAAGCCTCTTGCTGGGAGATACTGCATCACAAGAACTTGACAATAGCTGAAGAGGCACTTACTGCTCTCTCTAAGCTTTTCCTTGTTGGCTGAAAGACTTGAGAGAAGAGGTTTTAAGTCCACTTTGGCTTTCTGTAGCATTTCTAGGATGTCCACTTTGTTTTCAGAGTGGTCTTCCAATGGAATGGGAGCAAAGTAGTTTCCAGAGTTCTGGCCAGGGGAGAGAATGGCTTGCTCTAGACCTGAAACAGCAAAACCAGGACCACTGCGACATCAGTTTACCAACCCAATGGCTCAAGATGAACACACACTGGCAACCAACTTCAGCATGCCACTGCAAAGTTATGCCTCACACCCCTTGCCCAAGATCAGCTGGAGAGTCATCAGGAAGCACTGACAAGAACATTTATTAAAAAAGAACTTACAGCTGCTCACTCTAAGAGCTTCCAAAACAATGCCAAGTGCTGAAACTGTGGGTGAATTCACTGTCCTAAAGCCTTATCTGCCATCTTATTGAATGTGGAAGAAAGAATGTGGAAGGAGGCTACCTGACCCTGGATTGTCCTGCAGCCTTACCTGCTAGCCTCTCCAGTTCCTCATGAGGGGTAGATCTCAAGCTGCTTGACCGACTTCCAGAACGACTGGGATTAGAAAACCACCTGCTGAACCTGCTGGCAGACACTGAACCTTCCCCCAGCACATCTTCTATCATCTAAGGGAGGGAAAAAAGAAAAAATCTTAACATAAGCAAGATCAGCAACATCTCTGAGTAGCTTTACTGTGCAAACAAGATTCTTCTGCTACAGACAACTAGATGCTGCTCCCAGAGTTTCAAAGCTTTGATGTGCTTTTTTCCTGCAGACAGTTAACATAACCCAGCATACATCTCTGATACCAAATATTTACTCACAGTAAAACTGTAACTGAAAAAGCACAGTCAGAGCACCCAAAGGCCATTAACTACACCATTTTAATGTGGAAGTGTCAAAAGAATTCCAAGTATTTAAAAAACATTGCATTAGAAAAGTATAACTCAAACTAAAACTTCTCCTGTCCTGCAAAACAGTACCCAGTTAAAGCCTGGCTCAATAGGCACAGATGCAGTTTCAGGCAGCATGTTTTCTTTTAGACAAAAGGAAGAGCAGCTTCTTCCTCTCAGAGAAACTAATTTTTTTCTTAAACAAGGAGCACTCAACGCTATTTACAACAGAGAAAAAAATAGTATTGCTCCATTTGTTTTTGATTGTTTGACTCTAACATATTAGAAGAATTAAGACAAGAAATGTACAAACCTATGGTAACACTTGTCACAGACATATCACCAGTACAAAGAAACTCTCTTTTATTACAAATTGTAACATCTGCCCATCTGTTTTGTCAGTAGGTTTTTTTCACACTCCCTACTTTTAAAAGGAGTCACCACCTTGCACATATGCTGAAAATCAGATTATCAAGTCTAAAGAACATTTACAACTTTTATAGGGAGAATGAACTCTCCTCCATTTATTTGTCAAATCACTGGCACCATATGATGACTTTTCTAATGCAAGCAGCTTGTCCACATTAAAGATTAGGTCAGAAGTTCATTTTTTTTAACCTCAACATGTCTAAATCATGTCTGTTTGCAGTTGGAATACAATTTTTGACTTTTGATTGAATTGGAAGGCTGTATTCATCCAACACAGGAGTAATAGTTCTAAAAATTTAATTAGCCTCTTAAAGGTTTAAGTAATAAAGATTCAAACCCTTTCAGATATACATCCTTTCAAGCACCAGTGTCTCCAGGCTCACTGCCTGCCAAGAAGTCTGCACAGAAGATCTGTTTGTTGCATTTCCCAGACTTCGATAGAAAAGGTTGTCTTCAGCTAGACTAAATTTGTACAGTGAATCTTCTCTGAACATATCTTTAATAATTTCAAAGAAGATCCATTCAGAATGTTAATTTTGAGCCTTCAAGGAATGACCAAAAGAAAGGAAAAATAGTCAGCTAGTCTGCCTCAAACACTTTGGAGATAGAGCCAGTCCCAGGGATAACACCTTGGCAGAAACATCCTAACACTCCAAAGCTAAATCTCTGCAAAGTCATCTTAAACTTCATAAAGGAACTTCCACAGTGCAAGGAGTTTTAACCTTCACAAAATGCAGCTGCAGCAAAAACACTTCTCACAAATATACCCAGTCTTAAAACCCAGAAAACTCACTGAAGCCAGGCCAGGAACACTTTTATCCAAGTTAAAGAACTCATTGAAGTCAAACTCTCCTGGAGCTGGTTCTTGTAGAACAGCTTCTCTAGGAACTTCTTGATCTGCTGGAGTTTCATTGGCAAGGACAGCTTGCACTTCATCCTCTTCTGCCACTCCACCATTGCATTCTATGCCTTAAAAAGAAAACCAAGTGACTGCTGAATCACTGAACTTGATGATTTCCTGTGGGAACAGTGCCTGACAGCCAATGCACTTGCCCAGGGATTAGAAGCACAGGCCCAAAGGAACCCAGCCCCCAGCTGATACCTCATCAGTTACACTCCACTGGCTCCTGCAAGAGAAAACAGCACCCACTACAACTCCTAGCACACAGCTGTCTAGTAAGACTATCTAGCTCAAAAAAAAAAAAAAAAGAATTGCCATTGAACCATGCACAAAACTGCATCCGGATCAGCCTGGGCTGTTATGCCACACCAAGCACATACAGCTGTTGCAGAAAGTCAACAGCTGCTGCTGTTTTTACATCAAGAATCCTCTGGCAGCTCCTGCCTTCTTGACATGGGTTCTTAATAGTCAGCATATGACAAATACTGTTTCTCCTTCACCAGGAGCAAGACACTTCTCACTTTAAAGACTTCTCATCAAGCTTGCACAGGGCACTGCAAAAAATTTGTGACAAAGTTGGCTACAAACTCCTGTGCTTGGAACTGCACTACACTCCACTTATGTTGTCCACCTGCAGAATTTCTATCATTAAAAAGTCATCTCTCTCACCATACTGCAACTTTTCTTTTTAATCATCCAATGACTGCACACAAATTCAAGTTTTCTAATTCAATGTAAAGCTGTGTTACTGGAAGATGTATGCCCAGATCAGTGCTCCTAATGTTAGTATTACCATAAGAAAGAAAATATTTCAAGTACCTCAGAGCATTAGCTTAATTTAAACAGAGCCTTCAGCACCCAGCAGGATATAGAAATGAACAAGACCTTTAGAATAACTTATCGACTTCTGATATCATTCAACATCCACGCAAGTTTTTTCCCCAGACTCTCAATCTCACCTCTCTTTGGGAAAAAAAAAGTAATTTATCACCTAATTGATCTTTCAGATTACTAATACGATTATAGGCTTCAGGATGTCCAAAAGCTATGCAAGCTTAAGATAAAGGTTTTCATTTACACTTGTCTGGATCTCTAACAGTCACCTCTACAGCCAGCAATCTGCCCCACTAGCAGAAGAGCAGAGCTTTTGTGAGATTTGCCCTTACCTTCTTTCAGAGAGGCCGTGCGTCGCCTCGTACGTTTTCTCCCTTTGTGATCTTCCTCCAGAATTTTATCATCAAAGCCTGTGAGCTCAATGGTTTCAGACTGACTTGTAGGCCCAGCAGAGAACCACTCAGGTTCCTCTTCAGTGTAGGAATCATTCCTTCTTCGCTCTCCAAAGACACGTTTACTGTCACCAAATTCCCTCTGAAGGGGGATATTAAAAATGTTGGCCTTAATAAAATACTGCTTCCTAAGATTCTTCCCCAACTTCCACTTTCACCAGTTCTGGATATTTTAAAGTGTGTATACAACCTCTCTGTACGTTCTGTAAGCTTCTACATTTAAACTTCACAGCTGAATTTCTGCTTCATTACACCAAAAGCTATTGATCTGCAAGTGCTTCCATAAAATCAATTTTGCAGCCTGTGAGTTATCAGTTCCTTTTTTTTAATTAAAAAAAAAGTATAAAAAAAAGCCTGAAAGCATGGAAAGCTCCCATTTGCTGAGGTTAAAGACAATGCTTGTTGACAACTGCCAGGGGAAGAACTACAAATGAACTATTAGACTTTTGAACCTCTTGCCAGTAAAAGTCAGCCACAGGCAGGGTTTGTCTGATAAACAGCAGTACATACATCCCTGTGAGCTCTCTGAAGGAATGTAACTAAGTTTTGAAACACCCTTCACACCCTAAGAATGAAGGGCCTGTTTGCACAGAACACTCAGCTGCTGTATGCAGCTCGCCTGCCCCTGGTGCTTTTAGTGCCCAGGTGTCCAAACTCCCCAGTTGAATATGCAGTCAGGAAAAGAAGGAACAAACCCTGAAGCGTTTATCTTTGTAGTCCCTGTCACGATCCCGGTCTCTTGCGTCCCTGGAGTCACCACCCCGATGGTCTTTGTCGAAGTTCCTGGAGGAGATGATCCTGCCACTGCCGATCCTGCGGCCGCCGATGACGCGGACGCCGTCGCTGTCCTTCTCCAGGGGGCTGCCTGCCCGACGGGAGCTGACCGACGCCGTCACATGGCAGCCACCCCCAAAGCTTCGCCTCTGGGGACTCAGGACTACATCCAAGTCATCTTCTTTCACTCGCTCTCTTGGATCTGCAAGTCAAAGACCACACAAAAAGCACTACATTGAATGTGTTAGCAAAGACAAGTGAGTTGTCTGTATAGCAGCCTTCTGCTCCATAGCCTTGCTGCTATCCCAGTGCTTCTAAAGGAAATGCTCACAATTTATCTCTGTGAAGCTGATCTAGCCGAGACCACAAGAAATGCAAACAAAAAATTTACAGTTGGGTATTGAGGAACTACTGTGGTCTCCTAGAAGTACCTGCTTTCTCACTATAGACCTTCTAAGTGCTCAGCCTCGAGTTGCAGGGAAATTGTCCCACTTGCACTTGACACATGTATTCACTATTACATGGCAAGGATAGGAGGATACAACTGACTGTTACACAGGTTTGTTCTTAGGCAATAGTTACCAGAAAACCTGCTATAGTCCAGTTGGAACAATCAGGATTTCTTCGACACTTATCCTGTCCAGTCAAACAATTTTCAGAGACTTTGTTTGGTCTCCTTTGTGGTACCCCAATAGAAAGGTCTTGCCAACAGCCCAGACTCAGTTTTGAGCAATGTGCTGTAGAACACCTCACCTACTATCCTGCGCATAAGAGAAGTCCGATCTGAATCCAAATCTTTTTTAAAGCTTTCCACTGGTGAAGTTCTTCCTGAAGTTGGATATAAAGATGCATGCCACTTCTCTGGATCCCAGACACCATCACTAGGAAAATAAAATTGCAGTATTGTTTGCTACCTTGTAGTCTAATAAATACTTCATAATTCTGCTGCTGGAAACCTAGAATTCACTGGTTAGCAACCTGTACAAGTGAATTATCCTTCATACACAGTTTTTAAATCTGCTGTACTATGGTTTATTACTTCACACATAGCATTTCGATCTCTTCTGTAACAGCAAGGAAGTATACCTACCCAGTATCAGATTTTAAAAGACTAGTTATTGGTGAAGCTTGCCTGGTACACTGAAAAACAGTTCAAGTGCATCACATGGTGCTGCTCTTAAGCATTTGGATAATCAATCTCACACTTGTACAATAAATTCATCTGAATAGTAAAGAAACTCCCGCTTAATGAACTTACAAACACCAGCCAAGAATGCTCACCTCCATTTTTTAGTGAGGTACAGTGACAACATGGGAGAGTAATCCACTAAGCAAGGCAGCTTGTTACAGCCTGACCCAGTCTGTGCTACACACACACCCATCTACATTCTTGGTACTTTTTCCTGCAAGTCTGTAAAGTCTTGTGTTGTGTGAAGTTGTGAGATCCAGCAGAAAATAATCTCTGTTCAAAGAACAAAATCCTTGGCCAGAGCAGTGAGCCCTTCCTAGTAGGTTAGTACTTCTTGAAACTGGACTCTGTAGCAGACTGAACTTTGTGGCATGTACACCTCCCATCAATGTCAGAGCACTTATTAGCTATGTGTTTTTTGCAATTTAAACTTTTATTTTGAAATAAATGTATATAGCCTTCGTATAACCAAGAAAATACCTGTCATATTTTTCAGAAAGACAAGAAGGTCTTTTCTTAGAGTAGGGACGCTCTTTAATATCCAGCAATTCCTCCTAGAAAAAAAAATTAAAACAATCAAGACATGAGTTTCAATTCACACTGAGACAAAATTTAAGTGACTCAAACCATCTATTCCAGACTGCCTGTTCAATTTAGTGTTTTAATTTGACAACCCAGGTTTCCCGATATATGAAATACAGCACTGAAAGTTTATATTTCAGTTGTTCTACCAGTAGCCACTGACTAAACACTTACTTGAAGCACTAAGCCTTACTAGGCCTGGTTCAGTTTCTCATGAACACTCCAAGGCTGCTCACATCATAAATGTTTACGTATTCACTTCCCTAGACAGTTCAGCTTAAAAGCAACACAGGCATCATAGACATCAGAGCTGGTGAGCTCTCAAGAAGGAATCAAAATTGCTGTGGTTCAGCAGGTAAAAAAGCATTAGCACAATTTCAGTCACTGGTGTAGATCTGAGAATTCGAGACAAGCTTGCCATTTCTGACCGTCACAACTCCAAGATATTAAGATATGTGTTCTACAACTCCACCCAACACCAAATCAATGCTGAATGATAACTTATTTTCCCACTTTCTACCAGGTTTGAACAGCCCTTAGCTTACCGCTGCCCACCCTCAGCAGTCAGTCACTTTACTGGCAACCAGTGCAGTCTCACTGCAGTTTGCTACATTCAGAAAGCATTATTAATAGTGTGACCATCAGTGCTTTAAATCAGCATTAACTCTGCTGCAGTTAAGATGCACATTTCTAGTTACACTTATTCATTCTCCCAAGATCCCCTTTCTTCAACCTGCCTCACTCCCAACTGCACTGAATTGATTCAGAACTGTCCCGGGATCAGTGGGCAGCTGGAAGGATGAAGAAATCCTAACAGCAGACACCACACATCAGCCAAACTGAAGGAAATCCCTTCACCCTTTCCCCCCAAAAATACAACATCCTTCAGAACTTTTATATCATTTTTCCTACATGATTAAAATCAGATAATTAACTATGTGAGTTTGACACTTGCTCTAGATGGCAACTTGGTAGCTGGACAAAACCTTAACATCACCCTGTATTAGACCTCAGCAAAAAGAGTGCCATTAAAGGGAGCCTGACCTCCCTGCCCACAGCTTCCCAAAATAAACCTCAATCTATGAGGAACATCAGTGCTGTAATACTATCAGAGCCTGATGCAGATACTACAAGCATTACCAGCCCTGTCCATCACCAGATTGGGAATAGGTTGTTTTGCTGGCCACGAGAGGGAGTCCACAGGCTCTCATTCACATCCTATCACAATTCTTCCACTCAAGTGAGGAAAATTTGAATTGTTTCTTGCCTTTCACTCATTAGCTGTGCACCCTTGGGGGAACAGCTTCCCAAGAACTAGAAAAGACACATGTTAAACTGTAGAGCACTCCTGTAACAGAGGAGATAAATGCTGGCACTTCCATGTGTGGGGTTTTATGTTTAATTCACACACATTCTAAGCAGGCTGGGGGGAGAAAAGTGTGCTTACCTGTTATCATACAGTTTTAAGCAAACAGCTTAGAACTACTCATAGAATGAGCCAGATACTTTCCTAGTGGTAGTAAGTGAATATAAACCATTAAAGGAAATCAGCAGCACATACCCCAAAACAGTGTTCCCTCAACTCCTAATTAGTAGTAAACTGGAACACATGAAAATGCCCTACAATATTCATTACCTCACCATCTTAAAATATTTTGAGCTTTAACAGCTAGAGAAACTACATGATGCAAAGTATTTTAACACAGACTGATTTCTGGTATTTCTTGATTTAGGCTCCTTGGAAACCAACTGATAAACAAGACTAGGCACCTTCTGACAATAGTTCTGCAGCTTTATCCTGGTCAGAAACTGAATTAACAAAGCTGAAGCTACAAAGGCATTGCTTTCAGTAAACAGCCACCACCAGCATGGGCTGAACATTGCTCTAAAAAGCAGAACAGAAATTGAAGCTGAATTCAGTTACTACACAAGAAGACTTAGGCAAGACAAAGAGAATAGAGTCCACTTTTTCAGCAGGGGAGCTTTACAAACGGCTCCTCTCTTTCACTTAGCAGTTAACTGACTAACTAGGTCTCAATAACAGTATACTTCACATCCTCAAAAGTTAAGGGCACATCATTTTTAGGAAGTTAGAGAGATTTAAAAAGCTTTGCCAAGAAGTTTTGCCAGTTCTGAAGTACGTGGTTTATTGTTGATGTCTACTTAAAATAAGCCAGAGCTCTACTATCTCAACAGAACAGAGCCACAATGATAATTTTTTTCTTTAAAAAACAACCTACTAAAAAGCCAACAGCTCTGAATTCCTCAAGAAAGATAACACAGTCAGCAACAGTAAACTATCTCACCCCGTTCCACACTTCAGGCCATTTGCTGCAAAGTATCTTAACAGCTTTTCACAAAGCAATGACCACCTGTTCCCACAGCTTGCAGCCGTGGGAAAAATCACTTACCATTATGGACTCTTCCCAAAAGCATTTTTCAGCAGTGGTACCAAAACCCCAAACAAGATGTGAATCCTAAACCCTACAGTATAGCAAACTCAGTACTAGAACAATCTTTTTTTACTTGCAAGTTATTTGGCTCTTCTTCTTCCACTCACACATATATTTAGGCATCACAGTTAAACAAAAGCACCTGTGTTAACGTTTGAACACTAAGCATTGATTAGAGTCACAACTGTTTAAGCTTCCAGCAATCAAATACAAGCAATTCTAAGGTTACAAAAGGCACCCAGTAAACATATGAGAGATCCTGATAACATCTAGAGTGCTACACCTTCCTATGAAATGGCATCTGCTGCAAGAAAACAGTTTTGGTCAACTTCTCAAAAGAACACTGCTGAAAACAGAACTACGAAGAAGTGCTTGAGAAAGCTGGTAGAACAACATACTTCAGTCTCTACAATAATCTCTCAGCACAAGCTATGGGGTGCCCAGATACTAAGATAAGATGGTGGGAATCAAATGCATATCGAGGACAAGATTGCACAACTGCATCACATTTAACAAGCTGCTCATTTGATGCCACCTTGTAAATCCTAATGCAGGCAAAGGCTTTCCAGCTTTCACCTCACTGCTTCCCTCTCACAGGAGCCTCCACCTCCCACTCTACTCCTGTGACCGAGACTTCCACACACAACTCAGAGACGAAAGGAGAGTGAGCTGACCTTTGTGTAACGATGTGGGTATTTAGTTGTAATTCTGTTCAGCTCCAGGAAAGCATCGCCATTTTCAGTTTCTGTTGCACCTCCTCTTTTATCCATGGTTACTTCAAAGCCTTTGACCGCGGAGCTAATTAAAACAAAACCAACCCGTCAGATTTCAAGACGTACCTTTCTAGAGGGTGCATTTTCTTTCTAGCCTGAATCAGATTAACACTTGGGCACAGGAGAGTAGAGCCGCGCTCCCCAGCAGCGCCTGTCCCCTCCCAACCCTGCCCCTTCCCCCGGCCCAGCCAGGCGGCTCCCGCTGAAGGGTCCGAGCCGCCCGGGCAGCGCGGCCGGCCCTACCCCGGGCTCCAGCGGCTGCAGCACAGGGAACACCGGAATGTCGGAATATCGGAATATCGGTCTGCGGGCACGGCCGGGGCGCGCGGCCGCCGGGACCCGCAGCCCCGCGGGGCCCTGAGGGGTTGGGCGCCGCTCGCCCCGCGCCGCGGGGGCAGCTCGGCCCAGGCGCCGTCCCGAGACGCCGGAGCCGCGGGGGGGAACGGCGGCAGCGGGGCAGGTGACTCAGCGGATCCCCGCCCGGCCGCACTCACCGGCGGGTGTCCCGCGCCGCTCCGCTCCGCTCAAGGCCTCACCGCCGCCCGCGGCGTTTCCTGCTCCGGCCGCCGGCCCCACTTCTCCCCCGCCCGCCCCCACTGAGGGGCCGCACGCGCCCCGGGCCGGCGCCGCCGCCACCACCGCCCCCCCAGCCCCGGCCGCCCCGCGCAGCCCCGCGCGCCACTGCCGCTGCCGCTCCCGCTCCGCCCGGCGCCGCCTCCGCTCAGCCGCCGTAGCCGGGGCCTCGCGCCGCCCGCTCCGCACCCATTTAACGCCCCGCGCGCAGGCGCGTCGGCCGCGCGCGCCGGGGGCTCCCCCGCCCGCCGCCTGCCCGCGAATGGGCGGCGGAAGCGCTGAGGGTGGCCGGGCTGCGCTCCCGCCCTGTGTCCCCGCCGCCGGCCGCCCGCGGAACCGGCGTCTCAGCCTGCCAGCGGTGCGGTGGGTGAGGAGAAACGCGCGGCTCGGCGAGGGCCTGCAGGCAGTCTGGGCGGGCAGCCCTGCGGGGGACGCGGCCGCCGGCGGGATGCGGTGCGCGCCATGTGCGGGGTGGCGGCGGGACCGGCCCGTCCCTGTCCCGGACTGTGCCCGTGTCCCCGTGCCCGGCTTGCCTCGGGGGCAGCGCGGGGTCAGAGAAGGGCGGGAAGCGGCGGGGTGGTCGCGGCTGAGATGGGCCGGGAGGGCGCTGGCCGCGGTCACGGGCGGGCTCGGGGACGCTGCCCGGGAGCGCCTTCGCCTCCCGCCGAGCGCGGCCCGGCTCCCGCGGGTGGCAGGAGCGGTCCGGCTGAGCCCGCTGCCCAGCCCGGCATTTGAGCACAGTGTCCCGTGTTCTCAGCCCGGCCCGGGCTCCTGTCAAGTTGGAGTCTGGCATTCCTGTGGGATAGCAGGACTAGATTGGTGCAGTGAGCGCAGCAGCTTATTCGGAGGCACCGGAAAAGTCTTTCAGTTTTTGCTAATAAGGAGCAGACATTGTTTTCAACATCAGTTTAAGGAATTTACTGAGCGAGATCGCCTGCTCCATTTGTCCACAGCTCTGTCCCCGTCACTTGCATTCATTCTGCCGCAGGAACCCAGCGGGGCCACAGAGTTTCCAAGCACCTTGGGCAGCGAGGTCTGTGTAGGAACTACGAATTTCATGTAGGATCTGGTGAATGAGGTATTCTCTTCCCTGATCTCTAATGAAGTTGAATACTATAATTAAAATCTGGTTATCTATAGAATGAGAGAAATATATGAAAATAAATTTTTTGGTTTTTTTCATGAAAAAGTGCTCCATTATTAATGAGACAGGACTATTGCCTAGTTTTCTGAAGCTAAGAAGTGCTTTCCAAACAAATACACAAGGAGACTCCATGGCAACCAGTGGGCCACCAGCCTCGATCTGAGTGGTTGTTATGAGGTGCTGTAGGCTTTGAGAAGGCCTGAACTGTGTTGTGTTTCGCTGTCACCTTTGTGCACGTCGCTGTTTTGGGCTAAAACAGCTTTTTTGGCTCCCAAAGGCACATCTGCCACAGGTGCCTGTTACTTGATGCTCACAGCAGAGATGTCCAGTGGCGCAGAAGTGGCAGAACACAGTTTTTTTCCCAAGTGCAGCAACATCTCCCTGCCAGGCCGTTCGGCCGTTTCCCTGCGCGGGCCGGTCCGTGCTGCTGATCGGTAAATGCCGGTCACACCGGGCCGGCCCCGCCGCGCGGGGGCGCTCCCTCAGGGGCGAGGCGGGGCGGGGCGGGGCGGGGCGGGGAGCGGAGCGCCTGCCCCTCATGGCGGGGCCGCCTCAGGCTCTGCTGCTCCTTCCCTCCGCCTCTCTCCCGCTTGCTGGAGATTTCACCGCTGCTTTCCGCCAATCTCCGGTGCCGGTGCCGTATCCGCCGGTCCCGGGATCTGTGGCGCCCCTCAGCGGGGCGGGGGCGGGGGCGGCTGCCGCCGTCCCTCACGGCGGGGTTGTGGAGCAGCGTTGTGTGGGTCTCCAAGTGTTTGTACAGCGTTCAGCGTCCTGCTGGAAGGAATCTCATGCAGTAAAACTCCAGAAAAATATAGCAGGGTTCTGATTTTTTGTTTTTGTTTTTAAGCCTTTTTTATTTGGTTTCGATGTTTTTTTGGGAGGAGGGAGGGGTTGGATTTTGGTTTTTTTTTTTGGGGGGGGGCAGAGGGTTCTATCACACAGTAACTAATGCGTATAAAAAAATCCACTTTGGATCTCACACTTAAAAGGAGATGCCTGGCCATAATTCCAGGTGCTTCCACAGAATTGACTCTTCCCAGGACCTTTGGAAGTCACAGGGTTCCATGTGTGGAGAAGTTTTCACTGGAGGTACCTTCATTTCTAAGTGCTTGTGAAGGAGAGGAGCATACTATTTTAAAAAAGAAAGCAACAGGTGAAAAGGAATCAGCTGCTGATGGTGTCACCCTTGGTTATTTATTTATTTTTAAGTAGAGGCGCATAACTTGGAGTAGTTGTACTTTTTACAGCACCTTTCTAGCACAGTTTTGTTTAGGTGGGCAGAATTGCTGTCTTAGGATTCATATGGTTATACCTTTATCACCATTACATTAAGCCAGCACAATGTTGATAAGTGAGACAAACAGAGGATTTTCATGTTAAACATCTGAAATTGCATTATGGAACTTTGTTAGCCAGAAAATGTCGCTCTTAAAAGCAAAGTAAAACACTATGAACACCTAACCCCCAAACTGATAATGAAACACAACTTTATGTGGGTTTACATTATCATAACATTTACTTATAAAAGTGATGTTCTTGAGATACTAGACTGGAAGATAAGGTATTTGGACATAGCTGTTTGTCCAGCCACAGATTTACTCCATGTTCTCTTCTTCCCATGCTTTCCTTTTCTGACTTTAAAAGGGAGAAATGATCCTTTGACTCTTATTTTTCATGGTCACTTGCCATAAATTTTGGGGGACATAGGCTGTAATCATTAAATATATGCACCACATAACAGTGTTCCAAATACAGAAATAAAAGTACATATATTGGAAAATTATTAGATACTATTACACCTTAGACTTTCATACAAAACTTCACAGGTTGAATTATTTTCAATTCCTTTGTATTATGTCACTGCATATGGTCAGGCCAGGTTTGTCTTTGGGGCAGATGAAATAATTTTAAAGGGAGTTGGGCCTAATAGGTGTGTACAAGAACTTGTGCTGAAAACTGTTTTGCATCAGTTTTAGAGTGCCTGAAACTCCTCTTCAAACATACATAAAGTTGCCTTAGAGTTGCCTTAATTGCACATCTTGATGTGAACAGAGTCTGCCGTCTGCTGGACAGGGCCTACCCCTTTCAGAAAACATTCGATAATATTTTATAGAACAAGAATTTCTCACACAAAATATAGGTCTTGTTTTCTTCCATTAACTTTTTCTTAAAACTCTTTTGCAGCCTACTGGAACAAACCAAAAATACTGTATTTCCTCCCAGTGATTTGTTGTTAATAGTGGTTATTCAGTTGAACTTTTGAAACTTGCATTGTTCCAGTCACTTTGTGAAAACAACTTTTTTTTCTGGCTGCAGCCATGTTTTCCCTAGTTCAGTTCAGGAGATCATTGGGGTGAGATTTCAGATTATCCTCTTCGGTTGCCTCTTCTGGAATTCAAGAATGTGTTTGTGTTTCTAATGTGCAAATTTTCAGGGTGGTGGCAGCATTTGTTTTGGGAAAGAAGCTTCAATGGAACTGGTGCAGCAAGTTTTATCTGCATAGGTTTTTTTTTATCCTTGTTTTCAGAAATTTACCAAGAAAAAATATTTAGAATTCATAAAAACACACTTGTTATTTTTCAGATTAGAACTACACGTGAAAGTAAACCGTGTGATAGAAAAATATGTCTAATTTTGTTTTTTAATGGTGAATATGTAAAAACAGGAAGAGATTTTTCAGTTTTTTTTGTTTTAAGGAGAAACATTTAAAATAGCAACAAAACTAGGAAAGAGCTTGTTAAACAGCATTTTATGTTAAAATCGAAATCTCAGTTCAGTTCACTAGAGCTCAAGAGAATTTATCAGCAGTAGGCAGAATACCTTGATATGTTTGAGACTAAAAGGCAGAAAACCACAGTCAGAACTTCTCAGTCAAGACACCCTGTGTGCGCACAAAGGCATTTCAGTGATTTCTCATTTCAACTTTAGAGGAGAAAAGAGTTGTCTGTGACCTGATTGCACTGAAATGTATCTTCCTGGTTGTGTTGAGGAAAGTTTAGAATTCCTGATACTGAAAAACACCTGATAAAGAAACAACAAATGTTTACCATTTTGTAGCTGTCATGTTCTGTGTTTGATTAGATACCTTTGTTACAGACCAGGCTATTGAAATAATGCCACTTCTTTGGAGGTAATACAGTTTTCCACAAAATATTTCTTCTTTCCTTTTAAGTTCACAATCCCTGATGATGCATGAAATCCAGCAACCACCTGAGCATCAAGCTCATGCAGCTGGACAATCTGTTGCTCCCCAGCCTGCAACACATGAATTTCAGGACAGAGGTCATGACAAGCCGGGTCAAGAGGGGTATACCCAGAATCAAAGAAGAAAGTTAGAAAAATTCCAAAGCAGGTGATAAGTACAAAACATATTTTTCACTAAATGGAACAGGGGATCAGACCTGAAAATATCTGGGTTTAGTAGTAGCAGTGTAGGTTACAGCAGAAGTTTTAGTTCATGGCCGTGGCAGACAGTTCTGAGGTTGTCTTGTGGTAACTTGAGGAGAAGGGCTGACAGTCAGATTTCACGTATTTTTTACTTTCAAAGGTAAATTTAAAAATGGCTATTTTACAATATTATTTTATATACTGCCAGGTGTAATGATTTCTTCCTGCCCACCTCCAGTGTTTTTTATTTGCTGCTTTTGTTTGTTGAAAGAATCTTGACAAAGGTGGGATGTAATTGTGTAGAGATTAAAAGCCCATCATTTTTTGAGCAGCTGGAGCAGCTCAGACCTACTGAAAGAGTGAGGCTGCCCTTCCTGGCTGTGTGCTTTAACTAATCACCTTGTGAAGCCTTTGGTGCTTGTTAGGAGCCTCCATGTGCCAGCTAGTTCAGCTAAATCCACTGGGAAAAAAGAGGGGAAGGGTGACAGTGTCAGCAACACATTAGTGAGCTGAGCTGGTGCTGGGAGAAGCTTGTGGAGATGTGGAACTGCTGAGGGGAGGTGGGAGAAGGAAGATTTGCTGGGTTAAGGAAGGGCCAGACAATAGATTGGCTCAAGTATTCTGCACTCAGCTGGTTGACTTGGGGGAAACAGTGATGTTACCACATTAAAACCTCAGAAAGGGCTGCCAGCTGGCCAGCACCTTGCTCAGTGCTATCACTGGGTGGAAGAGGGCTGCTTGGAAGGTATTTTGGCTACCCAGCATTCCTAAAGAAGTATATCCCAATTCAAGTTTTGCAATGATGCTTGGGCCTCTTTATGCTTTACGAATTCTTCTGTTAGAGGTACTAATTTCAGGGTCTAAATATTTCATATATGCATTGATCTCTGAAAACTAGACCCTTACTTTTATTACTGAAACTAGAATAAAAATTCCTATTTTCACTACTGCCTGTGAGTTTGGAGAAGAGGAGTGCAAAAGTAACTAATCTTTCCTTGTATTCCAGATACCTAGCAAGGAAGTTTTTTTATCTGTGGGCAAAAATGACATTTGGACAAGTTCTCCCTTCCAAAGCCAGGTAGATAAAATTACAGAACTCAGAGGTAGAGGGTTTTTTGTTTATTGTTTGTTTGTTGAGGTTTTTGTTTCTTTGTTTTGTTTTAAGTTTTTTTTTTTGTTTTTTTCTGTTTGTTTGTTTGGTTGGTTGGTTGTTTTTTGGTTTTTTTAGTGACTTAGTGAGTACTGGCTGCCAACAAAATATTTTTATGTTTTTGAGATCACTTGAACATTTTTCTCTGTGTGCCTTTCTTGCTCTTGCTTTTTTGTTTGTTTTTAGTAATTGGGGTTAAACTTCTATTAACCAAATTAATAGGAATTGTGCTTCGATAAAGTTGACCAGTATGTGCATATAAATGATGGGATGTGATTGGGATATCTGCTTTAAATATAACTATTTTCCAAAGTTATGATGACAGAGATTTCACAGACTATTCTAAGGACCCACATGGATCATTGAGTCTAACTCTTAATATGAAATTCAGTTAATATTAATGTTTGCAGTGTTGTTCTTAATGTATATCTGTGTATGTTTGGTATTTGTCTGACTTGGAAATACCTGTGGCAGATAATTCCTTTCTGCTGTCAGTGTTCTGTGAGCTAGTGAAACCCTGTGCTTTGATATTCATTTCTTGTTTTGCATTAATTTGCATGTTCATTCTTGCTTGACCACACCCTTGGGAACAGAAGCAGTTCACTGGGAAGAATTGCATTTGGAGTAAGATCAGGTCTTTAGTCATTCAGTTTCATTTTTCTGTATCAGATATAATCTGTTTCTGCCTCCGTTGGGAAACGGAAGTTGTCCTGTGAACTTCCCCATTCCTCTTGTCCCATCTACTGAGTTGGCACTATCAATTCAGCACAATGATTAATTTATTTTTTAGGGGAAATAGATTTTATAAAGACCAGCAAGGAGCACAAGCAATAATGAATTGTCTTTCTAGAATTAAAAGTCCCCAGTTCTCCATAGTTTTAATTTCTAATACCTGTTAATGCATGTGCAATACCGTTAATGCATCAAGTCCAAAAAGATAACATATAGCTCTTTTCTTTTTTCCTTTTCTGCATGAGTGCTTGGAATGACTTAGCAGCTTGGCTTGGGGTAGGTGGCTGTGAATTGCAGCTTGTGAGAGGATTGATATGTTTCACCAAGAGACCTAGGTATTCTGGGCCTAATTCTGCTGTTATTACATGATAAAAACATCAAAGCATTATAAAATCTGTTGTAGCTTTTGTATTTGTTTATATATTAAAATATTTTGTGTTAAAATAGCAAAGAACAAGATTAGAAAGGAAAATACATGTATTGTTATCTACTGTTCCAATTGTCAGAGTAAAACATAGAACTGAGGACAAAAGATATGAATAGGTCTCAAGTCAACTGATACTCTGATATTTGACAAGTTAACAACATCTATCTTTTATTCCTTGTTTTTATGTGAAATATTTGCAGTCAGTAGAGTGATTGCTTCTTGCAGTACTTCACAGAGTCTTTGAATAAAGTGTTACAGTAGGGTAGTGGTTTTAAATGCAATTAGATGTTATTAGGCTAATCAGGCAAGCCTGGAGAAGAGGTGGTGTAATAATCATTAAAACTGATTTGTGGTCACTCTGGAAACCTGTATGACATTTCTTCTGTCCAAATCTGTCTACTGTTTAGATGTTTTTATGGTAAGAAGATTCTTCAAAAAACCTTTGGAGAGTGGAAGGAGCAGTGGACACTTTGCAGAGAAAAGAAGCTCAGCCTCAGAGCAGATAACCATTACAGGTGAGTGAAATTACTTCCCTTTGGGGTGTGTATGAGAAATTTTCTGAAGGAGCTTTTAGTACCAGTGAGCAAGTTCCATCAGTGGTGCATCTAGGCCAAGAGCAATCTTTTAATTGCTTGTTTTAATATTTTACTGAATGGCACTTTCATTTTTCAGGAATTTACTCCTTAAATTGATATTCAAGGCTTGGAGAACCTATGTATGCCAACAGCAAGGAAAGAGGAGCAAGTATTATGTTGCAGAGTCTCATGGTAAGTGAAGTGGTGGTAATTACCAGTATTTGGGGACATACGGAGATGGGAGTTTCCAGTGGGAATTTTTTAGCAGAATCTCTGTCCCCTGTGCATGTTTACACCGTGAGCTCCCCCACCCCATGGTAGTGCAGTGCTTGCAGGAGCAGATGGTAGGGAGATTCTGTTATAGGGTGTTCCTATATAGTTATTTAGGGATGCCAGTGAATAAGCTTAAGAGCCTCTCCATCTGCTCTGGATTGCACTGGTTGGTTTTGGGTAACTCGATTTTTGCTTGGTTTTTTTGTTTGGTTGTTTTGTTTTGTTTGTTTTTCTTAATCACAATATGTTTTCAAGTAGATGTTTTTTGATCAACTGTTTTACTGGAATTCTCTATCAGCTGTTGCTATAGGCATTAGATAGTAATTTCCTGTGATTTTAACAGCACTTATTTTATATCTATTGGCTGTTCCTTCCAGCTTGTGTCTCGCAATTGAAAGAAGCCCAAACTTTTGAAGTACCCTTTGTCTTATTGTGTAGGTTCTTTGCTCTGGAAGGGATTTGACTTGGAGTTGTCTGTACTGGTAGCAGCTTTCTTGGGTTCAGGGAATATGTTTTGCTGAAGGGAGGTTGACCCTTGTTTAAAGATGATACTGAGGTTTTGTTCTCTGAGGTTTTGTTCTCTGCTGATTTGCAGAATAAGTTAACTGCTTGCTCTCTTTGCACGTGAACGTAGCCTCAGAATGTCCTAGAGACTGGCACCTTTGGACACAAACTGACAGGCTATCCAGATTTCTTTCTTACTGAGTGATGCCAGAGTATTTACAGCAGAAGCTGTGTGTTACTTGGTCAAAAATAAAAAAAAGGTGACCTGTTTCAAGATAGGTTAATGCTTGATTCACAAGGAAATCCTAAAAAGAGAAAGTCTGGGTATGTGTATAAAGTGGCATAGAATCAATGAGTTTTTCATTAGTAGTGTCAGTTCTGACAAGCCAACCTGCTGTGAGGAGAATATGCAGTGTGCTGCAGTAAGTGGTAAACTGGAATTTGTGACACCACTTCTGTTTTTAGCTGCATGACCAGACTGCTAAATAGAGTTGACTTGTTTCTGGTTCATTTCTCTGGTTGTAGGAGAGAATAACTCTTGAAAAGCAACTGATGAACCTGATACACTTTTTTTTTTCTTTTTTTTAAACAAACCAAAGAGAATACTCTAATTCTTATCCAGTCCAGTCGTTATCCTGACTATTGTTCTACAGTTATTTCCCTTGTAAGCACTGAAGACAAAGCGATTATTGGCCATTGTCCGATAATTCACGCTGCTCTGAGCAAGTGGCAGGGACGGTGCTGTCAGCGATTCTGAGACTTCTCACTGTGACACCCTCGACCAGAGGGAGGGTCGCTGTCGTTTCAGGCTTTTCCACAAGGTGTCCCTGCAGGTGGAGGACACGGGAGTCGGGGCGAGCTGTGACCAAGTGGTTAAGATGTGACAGATTCCAGAACTTAATATGCTGCCGTTTTGTGTCATGCACAGCAAAGAGGCAAACTCTGCTCAGGACCTGGCAGCACTGGCTGGTTTATGTTGATGTTCAAAGGACAAAACATGGGATGCAGTCGGTAGCACTGGCATTCAGGAGAAGAAGCTGTTTGCGGTAAGGATGAAATACAAACAGGCAGAGAGGTGTTGACCATAAGGCCATCGCTTTTATCTATGTTATCTTTTAGGAAAAGATAAAAAATACAGAGTCACACCGTGACTTTGTTTGGTGTTTTGTTTTTTTTTTTTTAAGAAATCTGTTGCTTTCTGGGATGTGTGAGTTCTTCTGGCACACCCACAGACTGTGAATTTAAAAGATGTTATATAGCAGCTTGCCAATACCTAATGGGAGCCTACAGGAAGGCTGGAGAGTGACTTTTGCAAGGGCATGCAGCGAGAGTATAAAGGGGAATGGCTTTAAGTTGAAAGAGGGTAGATTTAGATTGAATATTTGGAAGAAATTCTTTACTCTGAGGGTGGCAAGGCACTGAAACCTGGATACTACCCAGAGATGATGCTAATGCCTCATCCCTGGAAGTGTTCAAGGTCAGTTTGCATGGGACTTGGAGCAATGTGGGAAATGGAAAGTGTCTCTGCACATAGCAGGGGATTGGAGCAAGATGATCTCTGTGGTCTCTTCCAACCCAAACCATTTGATGAGTCTTTGAAAAGATTGTTGTTCATACCTTTTTCCAGTCAGATGAAAGTGATTTCTGGCACCACATTATGGCACCTGTATTTGAACTTGTCTGTAACCTTGTTTTGGCAGCATTTCATGGGCAGTGTGGAGAAGACAGCACTACCAGAAATGCTCTGGACATAAAATGAATATTTTGGCTCTGCAGCACTGGGCCCAGAGCCTGCAATTTCGAGTAAGTCTCAGGAGCTTCAGCTACTGCCATTTCTAATGTTTAAGTTGCACACATGTGAAAATGTTGCAGATGAATAAAAATTAAGCCTTATACTAACTTACTTTGAAAATTGCAGTACTTATTATGAAATATCATATCAGGACATGGGGAAATGGAATGAAGCTGTTTCAGGGCAAGTTCAGACTGGACATTAGGAAAAGCACCTTCATGAGAGGGTGGTCAGTCCCTGGAACAGATTCCCCAGGGAAGTGGTTACAGCACCAAACCTCTCAGAGTTCAAGGTGCACCAAGTCCAACTTCTTTCGTCTTGCAGGACTACTTAAAACTAAATCAGATGACTGAGAGTGTTGTCCAGATGGTTGATCTTAGCTGAAGTGAAAACAGCATGGGTTTCTTTTTTTCTTTCACTGAAACCATGGCTTTTTGTCCATTTCATTAAAAAGAAGGGATGGTATTTAATTTGACCTGCACTGTAAGATGCAACAATACTGGTTTTAGGGCAGTAGTCTGCTAAGAAAAGAAACTTGTGATTTGGGAAATCTTGTAGTATCTCATTATGTGATTCCCTTTTATATGAATATAATCTGAAAGAAAGCCTGTTGGCAAAAGTATTTTTAATGGAAAGAAGTGTGAAAGTATTTAAAAGAATGAAAAAATATTTGACATTTTCTGTGCTGACATTCCTTTGGTGTTTGTTTGGGTTTTGTTGGGGTTTTTTTCCCCCTTTTTGGGGGGGAGCCTCATTGCTCATGGCTTTCACTTTTAGAACTTACCTGGAATTTCTTATTGCATGTGTGTTCTTCCTCTCCTTCTCTTTCTTCTAATTCCCTAATCTTGTCTGTTTTTTCCCCTTACTGCCCCTGCCCCTTAATTGTTCCTTCAGGCTTGGTTGCAGTGGCGAGAGATGTATTTACACACCCAGAATGAAAAGCAGAAGTACACCAGGGCAGTAACTCACCATCAGCACTGGGAATTGAGGAGATGCATGGGAGCATGGCTGGGATACCTGAACCTCCAGAGAGTAAAGAAACGCCAGAATGGTGAGTGAAAATGGTGAGCTGGGACAGAACAGGGCTCAGCCCCTTTGCTGAGGGCACGGTGATGGATTTTTCTGTTCTAGGAGTCACTGCAAAGTCTCTGCCCACCCAGGTCATGACAATGCAGCTTGGGCTGTACACTCTGACAAACCTGGCTGGCTTAGGTCATATGCTGGACAGTCAGGAAGATTACTTTCTTTCCACAGGATTTAAAAAAAAAAAGCTTTACAATTCCCTTGATGAAAACTTGCATATTGTCTCTTGGATTTTGACTGAGGTATCTATGAGAAGGATGTATTGAAGACTTTGATCAGTCTGTGGACTTTCTTGATAATCAGTCAAATCACAACTCCTGTAGGATGGTAAAAATTATTACACTAGTTCCTTTGTTTCTTCCCTTGAATGGGAATGAGTTCAGATATTTGTATGAATTGCTTTTTGATTGGTTGCAGTGGAAAAGAGTCTAGCTTGGATATGTAGGAACTAGTAATATGAGTATGCTGAAATGTAAGCAAGTTTGAGTATGTAACTTCCCTCTCTTAAGTCAGTACAGTAAGTTACTGCTTTAAAACTGCTTTTGTGATCAATAGGAAGGATATGATCTGTATCTGAGCATTAATGTGAATTCTTGTAACCATTTTTCAGTGTTAGAGCTCCTGTCACTTGTGAGCCAGTGGCTCAGATGCCAGGATTTCATCTGATACGAATGAGCCTAGGACAGAACAAGCCATGAGTGATTTGTGTTTGTCTTGCAGTGCTGGCCCAAGAGTTTCATCAAAGCAGGATGCTCCGGAGGTGCTTCTCCGATTGGCAGCTGTCATGGGAGTGCAGGAGAAGAATGCGTGCTCACAGAAGTGACCTGGAAAAACAAGCAACAAGGATCACCTTATGGAGAGTCTTTGCACACTGGAAGCATTGTATCCAATCTGTGTTTAGTCCCTTGCAAAGACACCTTAGAAGCATTCCCACAGGGGGAAGATCCAGTTAATAAGCAGGAATGTTGTGCAGTAGCACAAGTGACAACAAACATGTTGTCATTATGTGTATGTAATGCCATACTAACAATTCATTAAACTGTTGTAATTACAGTATGTTGGCAGCTGTATAAGAGTATATTAGAGCCTGCAGAAGATAATTTATGGTTGTTAAGATAATTTATGGATTCAGTTGGAGTGAATCAGAAACATATTGTGATAAGCCAGCAAAATCTAAAAGTTTGACCATAGTCAAAACTTGTGCAGATAACAGTGCTGGACATTCAAACATTGAAGCAAATTTAGATGGAGATATAGTGCCCCTCTGTGGGAGAAGGTTGTTCTGTGTAAAACATACTTTAACTCAGTGACAGATGTGCTGTGTGTGGAAGAGGCTCAGCAGCGTGAGCTGGCTGAAAAGCACTACAGGTGTCACCTGTTGGTAAGAGCACATTTATGTGCCGGGTGGGAGGGGGTATGGAGTGTCCCTGTAACACTGACAGTGGTCAGCAGGTGTTAGGTGGGAGAAATTCTAAATTTCAGCTATTCTGGAATCTGCCAGCTGAATCCAAATGGGGAAACTCTGCTGATCTCCAGAACAGCTATTCATCCTTTTGGGAAACTAGTGAAGTAGATTCATCTTGAGGGTGTTGGGTTACCTGTTCCCTGGTATTCCACCATGAGATTGCCTTTTCCCCTTGATTTTTTTTTTTTCTTACGCTGTTTGCTACAAGAATTAGTTTTTCTTCTCTGCAGTAATGTGTGCATGCTACTTTTCACATGAGGCCAAAAATGGCTTGCTGCAAGTGCAAGTAGTTGAGTGTTTTGGAGTTTTTTAGGTTTTAGGGTTTTTTTAAAAGAAAAAATAAATCCCTGAAGGCTATCTGAAAGGTGGGCACAAGCAAGCCTCCAGCTTTTTGGAAGTGAACTATGTTCAAGGTTGGATCAGTACTGGTCAGATGTAAAGGGTACAAAGAATACCAATTAACTGGTTTGGATCATGAAGTGAAAACATTAGTGATTATAAGAGCAGGATGATTAGTGATTTGAAGTAGGATGCTTTCATAATGCTATTTACCATGTTCTGTCCCCACTCAAGGGATTCTAGGATTGTAGATCAGTTCTAAATTACCTGATTTGGATTACAAACGAAAGTTGTGTTTATTTCTTGTGGCTACAGGAACTTGGCCTTAAGGGTCTTCGGCAGAATGTCCTGGACACTCGTCTTCAGCGAATGAGAACAAATTTGTCATTCTGTCAGCATCGAGTTACAGTGAGTTTGACTTTGGTTCTTGTGTCAGTTTGTCTTGAGCTGTCCTATTGACTTCCACTGTCACCTGCAAAGTACTTTTTTACTACAACAATGGCTTTGTTCTTAAATACTAATAGCCACAGAAAATCTGTGTGAGTCAACTGCCACTCTTATATATGTTTAGGGATTTGTTTCCCTGTGTTTATGGTGGATTTTTTCTTTTATGAGAAAAACTTGTAGGAGTTTTATAAGGTTTGCTATATGAAGCAGTGCAGGAGACAACCATTGCAGTATGCAGTTTCATTAGGACTTTAATGATTTATTTCTTTGCATTCTTCTCACTGGACATCTTTGGGGGGGTTTGTGTCTTTCTTGTTTTATTTTAGGTGCTGCAGAAGTACTGGAACCGTTGGAAGTCCCGTTTGGAAGAGAAGGAGGAAGAAGAGCAGCAGGCCTTAACATCAATGGCTCATGCCCATTATAGGTATGCAGAGAAATATTAATACAGACTTGTACAAATGGGGAATCTGTGGGCCTTTGATTCTCTTCTTAAGTATGGTAATACCCTTGGGGGCATGACTTGATGGCAGCTGCTCTGACATTTTCTGTGAGTAATGAATAATTTACATCTCCTGCTTCTCTCTGGAATGTAAGAGGGAGATTGGTTAAGCCTAGCTCTGAGGTTCATCTAGTGAACTGACCAATATGTTTTCTGAAGGAATTGTCTCCTGTGTGCTGACATTCTCCCTTTTTGCTTGACAGGAGGGTGTTGATGAGACAGGTATTTGACACATGGCTGCTGAAGGCCTGCACGCTGCAAGGGTATCGAATGGAAGAGAAGAGGGTAAATGTAACTCTTGTACCTTGCTTAGGAAATAGAGGGAATGTTTTCATAGTCACTGTCTGTGAATATGAGTTAACATAAGATGGACTTGGTGGTTGTAAATTCTCTTTTCCCTGGTAAAGGATCAGGTCAAGGGGAAGGGATTACAACCAATATTTACTGATCACCGTTTTTGTTTGTTAATAATAGAAACAAGTTATTATTAGAGGATTGCCATTCACATAGTACATTCACTTATTTCCTCACCCTGTAAATGTGTGTATGCTCTCTCTCTCTCTCACACACAGTCTCATAGTTACTTTGTTGAAATAATAATAAAAATAATACTAAATGGCCAACCCCATTTAAGTCATTTAAGAAGAGAAATACTGAGAAATTAGTTGCTTCTAGGTAGGTGTCCATAAAGTTCTTTACAGGGCCCTTCATTTTTTAAGGGGGGGTGTGTGTGTGCATGTGTATATATGTATATAGTCCTGGAGTCTGTGGCCTTTATGTGGTCTCTTACAGAACTCCAAGTTGACAGTAGCACGTGTGGGTGTCTTTGTGCAGATATGGCTCACCCTTGGTGGAGGGAGATTATCAGTTCTTGTACATTCAACAGGACTGGTTTCTGGAACTTATCAGTTCTTAGGAGTCCTTCACGTGCTATTTATCAGCTTGTGTTTTTCCTCTCTTTAGCTTGCTGCTCCTCCACCCACATGCACACAGGTACCTGAGGTTACAGAGCCTCACCACAAAGGGGCTTTGGTGGTGTGTCCATTGCTGTTCAACCTCAGAGAAACAAACACTGGACGGTTCTATGCATGTCATCTTTAAGGAGATGTTTCCTGTTGTTTGTAGCTGCCTGTGCTGTGCATTCACTGCCACCTTGCCTCCATCTCAGGCTGTCCTCCATTTCGAAAGGCAGCTCTTGCGCTGCTTCTGGTCCTGCTGGCGCAGAAGAGCAGCTGCACGTTTGGAGGAGCAGGAGGGCTTGGCTCGTGCAGGAGATCACTACAGAAACCAGCTGCTGCTAAAGGCCTTCTGTCTGTGGAAACAAAAGACTCAGGAGAGAGAAACAGAGTAAGATGTATTTTGAAACAAAATTATTTGGATTGACCCTGTGGCAGCCTACTTTGGACAAACAGCATTTAATTCACAATGGTGATCACTTCTTTTTAGTGCTTTGGAGTCTACTAAGTTGTCTTCAGAAAATGAATTACTGAAAATAACAAATGTGGACTCAAGTCTGTGCTAGAAGTGCCCAGTAACATGGATTGCATTGTAGGACAAATAATTATTTTTCTCCTAGGAGGCTCAAGGAGACGAAAGCATTAAGATTTCACTGTTCAAAGTGTCTGCAGCAGACTTGGAACAAGTGGAGAGAGGTGAGAGAGTTAGTAAATGGGGAAGAGCGTGAAGTCTTCCTGTTGTGTTTGAATTGCTTGTACCCATATGGCTAGAAGTTAAATTGTTTATTTTAAACACTAGTCATTCCTATACTCTTCTCCCTTTTCATGTGGATAAAACCAGTTTGGTGTGAGTGGAAACAGGAACTGTGCAGGGAGAAGGGGGAATTCTTTTTGTTCATGTATCTAGATATGGTGAGAATAGGAATATGGTTTAGATGTACCTGGGAATATAATCAGAGTTAGTGTGATGAAATTGTCCCTACCCACTACTGGGTATGTCTTTCTCAAAATTCAAGTTAAAAGTTTGCAGCCAGGCCTTTGTGTATGACCTGTATTTGTGTTACAGGTTGTCACAAACACTGTCACAGAATACTTGCATACTGAGTCCCTTTTCCTTACCATGATATGAAGTACCAGATGTGCCTTGCCTCATGTCTTAAAAATCTATGAGAATTTTATAGTTGGAGCTGCTATGTTGGTGCAGACCTGTTAACTTGAGCGGTTTACATGAGTCTTCAAGAGGATTCCTACAAAGGGCAGGGAAAAAAAGCACCTCAATTAGGCCTCTTGGGGACAAAGCAGAGTGCAGTACCAGTTTGAATGAAAAGCTGTTACAGCAAGGTGAAAGATTGATTTTCCAGAGAATGGAAATGCTCAGTTTCCCTCCTCTCTCTGCCATTACTTGTTTTCCCTTCTTCATGTGTATGTATCTTTTGGGTTTTTTTCCATTTTCTCCTTCTAGTATGTGGGACATCAGCGTGAGAAATGGAGGAAGCTGATGCAAGCAGATCTGCACTATCAACGTGTGTTGCTGGGCAAGACCTTGGCAGCTTGGAAGGTAGGATGGAGCAGCCTTTTTGAGGCACTTGTCTGTATGTGCTGTAGTGTTTCAGTGAGAGCTGAAGAGCTGCCATGCTCCTTCACTGGACGCACATACACACCACATGTGCAAGCCAGAATGGAGGCTCTTGTATGCAGGGCTATATGAGCTCTGGCATTGCTTTTTGGAGCAGAACCACCAAGGTAATCTTGTAGCACTGGTGAATGGTATATCACAGCAAGCATTAACTATTGTGTAGTGACTGCTTGCTACAGCAAAGCAGCATTTTATTTCAGTGGCTGTATTTTTTCCCCCTGTGCTTTACTGCCAGTGCTTCTTATGAGTTAGTAAGAGTTAGTTAGATGCTAGTAAGAGTTTCTAGATGTTGCTTCTCGTCACAGGTGTTAACAGTTGAGGTAAATTTACCTCTCAATACTGATTTTTTTTCCAGATTTACCAACAAAACATACAGTGCATTTTGTATCAAGTAGCTGAGAAGGAGAAACAGCACACTCGACTGCTGCTGCGGTGAGCCTCTTCCTAGGCAGCATGAGAGAAGTGACTGCACTGCAGTCAAATTCATTACTTTCTTTCACTGCCATGAACTTCTTTTGTAGCATTCAGAATGTTTGGTGCTGGGAGTGGACTCTGCCATGCATTGCTGTTTCTTTGCATGCAGATCATTTAGGTAAAAGAAATCAACCTATTCCTGTTTGCTATCTGTTTTGCTTGAATATTTTTTAAATCTCTGATTAGTCCTGCAAGAGTCATCAGACATCAAACTGCATCATTATGGTATTAACTACATCTGTTATGATGTAGTTAATAATACATAATACTTAAAGCAGCCTGGAAGATGCAGAGCCTCTCTTGAATTACCGTGAGGAGAGTGATTAAAGATATTATCACATTGTAGATATTTAGCTACTTTATTTATTTTAATGCTATACAGCTTTAGTCACTTGCAGAGCCTGATTGGCTCAGCTGAAAGCTGCTGCATTTCAAACTGTGTTCTGTTTTGCACTGCCTTCTCTTCAGCAGAGACCTGAAGGGGCAGAAGTTGGTTTGCACGACTGAATTTATAGATGCAGCTGGTTTTGGTTCCCTTGTGAGTAGGAAAGTGCCAAATGAACAAGTGAGAATCATTCTTAATGTGTTTAACTTTTGTGTGTATTTTTGCCTTCAGACAGGTGCTGTGTACGTGGAGAGAAAATGCTCTTGCTCTTATACATGAATCTGAGGCAACTACTCGGGCAGATGAGCACTACAGGAGAACAATCCTGTCAAAGGTAGGGTCTGTACAGCAGGTGCCAAGGTCTCAGTAAAGGTGCTGGTTCAGGCAGGGGTCAGATAATACAATTAGAAGGACCAAAAACTTAAATCTAAGAGTCACTACTAAGAGAGATCTGCAAAGTGGGAGTCTCATCTTATTTTTGCAGGTGTCTCTGAAACTTGTCACTGTGAGCTCATGGTTTTTTCTTTCCCTTTTTCTCATTCTTTAGAAGGAAGGAAAAGCCAGTAGCATGATATAGCAGAGTAGTATTGGAGAGATGGGGCAGGGAGGGGATGGATAAAAGAGAAGACCACCTTGAAAAATGCCAAGGGGACCCTCTGAAATACTTTTGCCTTTAATTTGTAGGACATTCTGTCTGCTGAGCCTTATGTGAAAAATAAGGTGGAAATGGTTATGTTACCAGCAATGGAGGGAGTACATTGTGTCCCCTTCCATTGCAGTGCCAATCTGTGTCCCATCTCCTGTTTGCATTGCATCCTTAGGTGCTGCTGCAGTGGAGAGACACTGCCTGGCTACAAGCCTGTCACTGCCATCTGAAGGTGACAGCTGTGGTGGAGGCCAGAAAACATTTGGATTTAGGTGAGCTGGTGTAGATGTTGAACTCTCAAAAGTCCTCATTGTCTGTGAATGAGCCACAAGCAGTATGCTGTGTCATCTGTACAGATTAAGTTACTGGATGGTCTGTTGGCTTACAAAGGATGTCCCCACAGAATGGAGAGTGAATTGGGACTCCAGTGATCTGCTGAATGCTGCTTGTGTTACTTTTGTTTCTGTTTGTTCTTTTTACCTTATAATGGATGGTAAAACTTCCTTCCTCAAAGGAATTTTCCATTACTAATTTTGAGAACCTAAGACATCTGTTTTGAGCGCAATGCAAGTAGTCTTATCAATTACTGCTTCACTCTTTCTCTAGTAATTCTTACTGAAAGACCCTCAAATTCTGCAAGCATTTTCATGGTACCATGGTACATTCTTGACATGAGGACTCTGAAGCACAGAGGGCTTTCCTAAAGGTTGTAAAGAATGTCAGTGGCAGCGGGGAAGACTTGCAAGTCACAGCTCCCTGTGTGTTACAGGAAGTGTTTCACAGTTCTCCCTATACTGAATACTGTCAGTGCTGAGTGTTTCCAAGTTGAGTATTGCTGAAACAGTCGGGAAGAGTAGCTGATCACTTGATACGCTGAGATGAACAATCTCCCTTTTCCCCTAACAGTGCATTTACAGAGCCTGTTTCTGCACTGGAAGGAATTGATGAGGGAGTCTCTGATGCTGAAGGCTGAGCACCACAGGGCAGCACAGCACCACCAGCAGCACCTGCTCCAGAAGTACCTGGTGAAATGGAAAAATTATCATCAGCAGCGCCTTGGGAAAAAGGTGAGAAGGATCAGCAAACTTCCCAGCTTGAGGGAAGTTAACAGGTATGGAGGAACACACTGTGCTCCCTGGTGGAGGGAATGGCAGTCTGGGCTTTGAAGGAGCATGACAGCTTTGTGTACTGAGGAGGAAGGAGCATGGTTGTGTCTTGCCTGAAGTAACTCATAGACCTAACAGACTTAACAAGGCAACCTGAGCTTACTGCAGATTAAATCTCTGCTGGGCTCAGTGATGTCTGCACATGGGGTTACACTGTAGGGCACTTGGGTATTGAGGGTGGCCTCAACAGAGCAAAGAGAGGGTGATAAAGGCTGTTTGCTAGCTGTTCCAACAGCATTTGGCTAGATAAATGGGGTTTGTCTGCAAGTGACTCACTGCTTTGGTTGCCTTGCAGCTGCTGCAGAGAAGGGGAGATGAACTAATGACTCATAGACTTTGCTCTGCTTCCTTCTCTTGCTGGAAAACTCGGGTAAGGAATTTTTCCCTGAGTAGACACCTAGCTTCTTTGCCGGTCATTCTCCCTTCTTGTTCTGTTTACCCAAGGACCAAGAAAACTTTATTTAAACATTTTCAGGATTTTTTCCGTTCAGCTAGCACAAGAGACACTTTCCTATAGACTGGGTGAACTGAGGGTGTTTCTGCTCTGGTTCTACCATCACTTCCTCTTTGCTTGTGCTTTGGCTGGTGTTCCTGGTATTGAGTATGTGAACTCCTAACCTGGTTGCTGTGCATTTTTCCCCCCAATAGCTGTTGCAGCAGCAATGGGAAAAGCAGAAGACAGTGCAAGCATTGTGGCACTGGTCCCTTTCAGTGCAGAGAAAGGTAAGGGGCTGTGCAGGGCAGGGGCAGGCAGGTGAGTTTGATGTGCAGATCATGTGCAGATTTGACTGCAGTCAGCAGAGTGCGCACTGAATGTCTGTTTCCTTTCCTCTTTGGGGTGCTGGAAAATTCCCTAAAATTTTGTAGCTGATTTAAAAATAGGCACATTTTTCCCCATCTGGCCTCAGCTGACTTAAATCTCTGTCCCTTTGTCATTGTGGCAGTATCCTGCTGTTGCTGTAGCTTTGCCTATTCCTATCCAGTGGAAGGGAGAGTGTTCTGTCTACAGGGGGAGTCCCTGGCCTGGAACCTGTCTGTGTAATACTCACAGCTCTCATTGTTCCTGTTTTAGGTATTTGATGCTTGGTTCAGGTTTGCCAAGGGGCAGCAGGAGAAGAAAAATGGCACTGAAAAGGTCACACAAGTTCACCACACAGCTCCTTTGAGAGAAGGTGTAACCTGTGCCTTGAGAAACACTGCTGGCATCAAACAGCTGCAGGGACAGCTCCATACCCAGCCCCAGCTGGAGGTGAAAGAGAGATTGCACAGATATATATCCAGAACTGGGCTGCTGTGGTCTCTGTTCTGTGTGTGGGATGTGTGTTTGTGTGTCTGTGCATGTCCACATCCCAGCTATTGTTTAGATCCTGCATATAGTTCTATCTCTGGTTCAAACATTTAATTCAGCTGAAACTAGAGGACTTCAGACTCATTGGGAACCTTTCTTAATAAAACTATTTTAAAACTGGCCAATTTCTGCCATAGACAATAGTCCTGATTGAAACCTTTGCATGTGGGTCAGGTCTCTAAATTCTGTGCTAGAATTAAGCATTAGAGACTACATCTGATCTTGTCTTAGCTTTAGCACTGCTTATACCTTCATATGTGGGCTTGTGTCCCTTCTGCCTTTGAGTATCAACCCAGCCCTGTGTGTGAAAAGGATGCCTGTATTGACTGCTCTCTTCTTGCTTCTGGGCAGCATTCCCAGCTCTTTTCCAGGTTTTTAGGATACCAGTTGTTTCATTTGCTAATGTGCAGCTTGCCTTAGTGCAGAAGTACCCAGTTAATTTTCCTCACCCAAATGTTACCACAGTGAACCTCTTTGATTTAGTTTAGAGAGCTGGTATGGCTTGGAGGGCATCAGAAATCTTCCTTCCTTCTCCGTGGTGCTTCCTGCTCTCAGCCACCAGATGCTTTGCTATTCTTTGTGTTGGCAGACAGCCTGCAGTCTTCACCAGTCAGTGTATTGTTGTGCCATGCTGTGGAAACAGAGGCTCTCTTCCAGAAATTAAATAAGCCTTTTTCTTTTTTGCCACCTCTGAAGAAACAAGTGACATTTAAAAATCCTGATGTTAGTCCTGAGACAAGAGAACATTCATCAGAGGAAGAGCCATGGCCTTCAAAATGCAGATATCTACCTCTTCATCCTGCTGAGGGGGACTCAGTTCTGCGTGGCCTGTGAGTGTAAATTTCCAGTCTCCCCCGTTTTTATGGCATATAAGTAACTTTGCACATATGTAATCGGTCTGTCTCATTTGTGTGTTTCCAAGTTTTCTCATTGATGACTTAATTCCATCCTTAACTCTGGCTCTGCATCATGTGGCTGGTGGTACAGAGTTATACATAGCTGCTGTGTAATTCAAAGCATCAGCCCACACACAGTGAAGCTATTTGTGACTGTACTTGCCACTGACAGGTAGAACCAGCTCAGCTATAGACCTTCCACTTTGTGTTTCTCAAGGCAGAACTGAATTTGTGGAGCATTGGCCATTTGTCATAAGAACAGTTATACAGAGAAACATTGAAAGATACCTTTGAGGGGACTTGGGCCACTGGGAGAGCTTATCTTGCCCAAGTGACCTAATGTCACTGTGTCACTGGAGCTTTTGTCTTTTTTGCACTGAAGTCATGTGATGAAATGATAATCATCAAGATCCTGGTGTACAGAAGCTGAAGTTTCTTCTTGCCCCTTTCTTTTCCCTGGGGAAGCTATTCCTTAAAAAATTCCTATTTATCATAGGGCAGTTGCAAGGAAGAATTGTCTATGAATCTTCTCAGTGCAGGACAGGAATCCTACAGGGAAATAAAATTGTAACTTCACATTGCTTTAAGCAAGTATATGCTGCCAAAAGAAGAGTTTCTGCCTTGTTCATTTGTATTAATTCCACCATTCTTTGTGTTGGCACCACCATTCACATGGTAAACTAGATTCTCACAATACAGGCTGACATTTAATCTTTTAAGAATCAGGATTGCATGCAAGGAGAATGTTGCAGAGCAGGGATGAATGATGAAACAAGGACTGTTTCTTTAGCTGTAATGCTAGCTGATGCCAATTTACAATAATCATAAGTCTGGGGCATTCTTTGTTGTTTTTCTTTCCAGAAATGCCATTCAACGAGCCAGGTTACCACCACGGAAGCCTGCCTTCTCTCTGGAATCTCTAGAAAGCAAGGAACTGCTGGGACCTCCTTTTACTAGGTAGAAAATCTAATTATAGAAGTAAAGAAAAGAGGGTGACTTGCAGTGGGCATAGTAGAGCAGTTAATTGGAGAGCTTTATGCAAAGGAATGACAGGAGTCTCCCCTTTTTTGCACTGACCTCAAAGGACAAGGCCAACAGCTGGCAATGTAAAGTGACTTTATCCTTCTTCCTGTACAGGTCAGAGGTGCCCTTTCAGCAGACATCTGTGAATAAATGTCCTGCACAGACCAGGAATTTAATGCTGACACCTCACATGGAAGAAAGTACCTGTAAATGTCTATCTCAGATGGACAATGCTGCTCATCCCCATCCCTCTCTCACTTGTGCTTCTCTCCCTCCATGGACTCAGGACATGCACCGGGCTGGACAGAGCCCAGAGCTGTGGTGTCCTGCATCTTTCATGTCCCACATGAAAGCTGGCTCAGAAGAGGTCAGTGTATTGCTGAAGGAACAGTTAGTGTGTACTGGGCTGCTGCCAGCATGTCCATTGCTTATTGCTGTTTTCTTGTGGTTCTTCTGAACTGCCCTGGTTGAGCTGGTTTTCACTTGTTCTAGCTGTCATCTTTAAAGCTGACCAAGTGAACTGCCTCTGAATGCCCAAGAACTGTTCACCCCTAGTCTGAAGCAATCCACATGTGGTGTTCTGTATTTCATACCTTTTTCCTGGTTGTCTTCCTAGCCAGATCTTTTCCTAGCAAGTGATGTGATGGTGCTGCCTCTTTGGAATCCAGAGCAGTTACAGTTTGCTGTCCAGATTGCAGGGATTTAAGAGAAACTCAGCTTAGGAGCAGTGGGTGTGTCTGAGAGCTTCAAAAAGTTGAAATTCAGTTAACCCGCAAGTAGGGGCTTGCTTTTGGGCTCCTTATTCCACACAGAATGGGAAGTTTTAATATGGGTGAAATATCTCCCTGCTAGAAATCAAAGAGCCCATATTTTAAGCTATGCTTCTTCTGTGGGATTTTATGAAAGGGGCTCATCAGCACCTACAGGAGTTGTCTGAGTGGGAGTAGGACTAAGTAGGTCAGGCACATCCTACTTGCAGGGTTTACTTAAGAAAACCTTTGAGAAAAACCCCAATATCATTCTGACCTTCTAGAGAGGAAGTCAGCCTGTGAATGGTCACAAAGGAGCCCATTCCCAAGACTCTCAACAGAATTCTGTGGAGAAGTTGGCACCAAACTTGCAGCCACATTTCCTGTCACCTGAAGACTTGATGGGAAAAGGGAGTCACCAGACTGCAGGTACATCCTCAGATCCAAACCACAGCAGTTGCTCATCCTCCTCTCTAATGTATATGAGACTGCAAGTCACTGCCACAAAATGTGTGGGAGACAGGGCAATCTTGTGTGCCAGCATCAGGAGGTAAAAGGGTACCAGTGCTCCTTTCTGGGAAGGCAACTGCAGTTGTATGGATTCTGCTGAGTCTAGGGGCTAAAGCCCTGCTCTAGGCATTGAAGGATGGGAACTGCTTGAACATTCTTTTAGCAAGAATGTGCTCAGGTGCTGGGGTGTTCATATGTACAACAGAACTTGCTTCAGGAGGGGAAGTTCATCCAGTAGAGGTCTCTGAGATTTCCCTGTACTTACAGTATGGCTGTAAAGGGGACAGATGGTCTCTAAGCACCTCCCATTGTGTTTAAAATTACATCAGAGCATGATATTTGTTTTGCAGGACTACTGTACTTAATTACTTCTAGACTAAATGTGAAGACTAAGTCCTGAACAGGCCAAAACAGTATCTGTAGTACTGAACCATCCACCAGAGCATTTTGTATCTTTTATGTGTTCAGACTGAGTCTTCAAGAGCTTGTTCTATTGTCAGAACTCCTGCCCTCTCACTGTACTCACTTTCACCTTTAGGGTGAAAAGGTACATGTCACAGGGTAACCAAACACATGAAAAGCAGTTGGGAGGGTTCCTTTTTTCCTGTCATTAAAAATATTTTCTGGTTTTTTTTGGTAAGAAGAAAGAGTGGATGTCTGTTCTACCTCCATTGCTTGTGCCTTATGTCTTCCATTCAGCTGAAGGGGAAAAGAAGCAGCACAGTTCCAGAGAAGAAATGATGTTGGAGAGAAAGGTGGAAGTTGAACTCTGGCATATCCAGCAGCAGATGCAGTACTACTACAGCAGGAAGCAGGAACTCAAGTAATGCACCTTTAGCCAGCCTTCCTTCATGTTGTCCACTCTGTTGCACTTTTGCTGTGTATCTACCCTGGAAATAATCTGTTCACAGTAGAACTGTGAATGAAACAGAGAAAAGTTCCAGAGATTTTTGTTTTCTCCTTTCGAGTTCACTCCAGGTGAAGGAGAGTATGTGCATAACTAGTTCTGTAGTCAGCCAAGTGGTATAATTATACCTTTGGCTGCTCTTGCAGAAGCATGTCAGAGGTATCACTGCATGTAATCAAGACACAGTACAAATGAATAGGGCAGAGCTTTAGTTTAGTAACTTAGCTTCTAGTTATTTTATCAAGAGGAGTGAGAACTGAGCTTTTCCAGCTTTCTATTAAAAATTATATATGGCTGGTATTTGGTAACTGCTCTACTAGAACAAGAAAACAAAAATGCTCAAAAGAAATGGTGCTTGGGGGGCTTTTAGCTGCCAGGAAAGGAAGAAGTCAGGGGCTAGAAGCAGGAGGTGGAGATGACAATTTTCAAATTCCTCTGCTTTCCAGCATATTTTGGGTTTTGGGGTTTTACCTTTTTAAAAAGATTGTAACCATTGACTGGTTTGAGACAAAAAAAAGGGTCTTATTGCAAGTATCAATTGCAAATCTAAGTTGGCTTAGACTGTTGAGCTCTTAGTTGGGATAAGAATCCTTCTAATCCATTTTATCAGGTGCTGTCAGCAGCAGGCACAGATTCTGCAGCAGTGGCTGGAAATGGGCACGCAACCAGGACCCCAAGATGGTGTGCAAGGAGTTCAGGAAGAATTGGGTCAGGTGTGTACACAGCATTTAAACTGAAGCTACTGAAGTGATTGTCACTGTACCTTGCACTTAACCTAAAGGCGGATGGTAGCGGTGAGGAATTGTGTAGCAAGCTGTTAGTGAAATGCCAAGGGGAATTTATAGTCAGAAGCAGGCTGAGGAGCAGAACAGGCTGTGTCGATGCCTCTTCCTGTTTGTTCAGAAATGTAACTCCTGCTCCAATAGACCTTTCTGAGGCTATTTCCAAGGTATGGATCAAGCTTTCATATACTCAATCTCAAAATTTTTCTACAATTTCTCAGGACAATTCCCTGTGTGCAGACTGGACCTGCATTGCTTTCAGGCCCCATGTTCACACAGCCAGGTGTGGGTTCTGGTACCTTTGACTCCAGCCAGTCCTGAGCTGTTCCTGAGTGACACAATCTGCCACGTACTGGGCCTCAAGTGAGATTACACAAAAGCTGCTGGAGCAGCTCTTACTGTCAAAAGAGTAAATATTGCCTCACTGTACAAACTTATGTTGATGCTGATGCACTTGTGTTCCCTTTCAGTTGCAGGTGAGGATCAAGACTCTCACCAAAGCCCAGCTGGCCGAGAGACATCATGTGCAGGCCCTGCTGGCCCGCCTGCGAGAGATCCAGCTTGCCCTGGATCTGTAGTGCACCTTCCAACCTCCCAGCTCAGGGGTAGGACTTTTTGCCCCTTTCATAGGAGGGGATGAGGGAAGAGATGTATCCATTCACAGTTCTATGTATGGCATTTTTATCTGATAAATTAAGTGAAAATAATTTTGCTTTTTTATTGTTACTTTAGGCGATCAAAACTAAACTGGAGCTACATCTACCTCATGCTGCACTTGCAATACCTTGTTTAGATTACCTGCCATGCCACAAAGATAAGCAACACAGATAAGACTCTTTATTTCAAAATGTTTGCAATTAAATGAGTTCGTGTCAGTAAGTCATACACTTTGACATACAAAAATACCGTGCTACTGATACAGTTGAATTAAATGGATTCTCCATGCAGGAGAAATTCACAGCATTATCAGTACCCTCGAGGAACTTTTTCACTCCTGGGGTGCATTGCTGCCCCTGCATCACAAGCAATGTTGGTTTATTAGCTTGCTCTGCACAGTATTAAAACCATCAAAACAACAGCCACTTGCATGCTGAATCCTCTCTTCCTTCTGAGATTTCTAATAAAGCAAACATCAAGCAACCCTTCCTCCATCACTAGGCTAATATTTACCTTCAGATACTATGGATGATGCTGCTGAGTAGGAAGAAATTAAAGCTTTAACTTCCTTTGGCTTTGTCTGGATGTCATAAACCCCAGTGGAAAAGAAGGAAAAGATTCAGCTGTCTTTTTCTCTCATCCACTGGAAAAAAACACTTTCTCTTGTTAACATGACATTGAAATTCAATCAAAAAGCTCACCCTAATTTTATCCTCTTGGGGTTGATATTTGCCTTACTCTTTTCTCACTCTCAAAGATTTAAAAAGACTTGTATCTGGTACTTTACTGCTGCAGGAGTAAACTTGCTAATACCAAGAATTTTAACAAGATAGGTGGCTGAGAGCCACTTCAAGCTTTCAAACTCCTCCCTGTGCGAGGAAACACTGACTCCTGGAGCCAAATGAATTTTCTCCTGCTTGTCACCCAAACAGCCACCCTCATCTGACTCATGCTGGGCTACATCACTTAGAGGCAGTTTATCATCGCTTCCTTCCCGATGACAAGCTAAGCATACAGGACTTGGCAAACTGGACATTTGTACAACAAAATTATATTCTATTTTCTGCAGTGCATACAAAGAAGGGTTTCTTTAGGAGATCAGAGCTTATCAAAGCCTGTCGTCTCCTTGAAGTAGGAGAAAAGTAGCTCAAGCAAGGAAGTAGTATGAGAAATCTTTCAGAAAGCACAAAGGCAGGTTTCATAAGCGTGTCCACTCCAACAAGCTCTGGATAGCAAAATCAGTTCTAAATGTTTGAGTGCTGGGACTTGAAACAGTTTATTCTTAAAAACCGATTTATACATTGCTTTAAAATTCAATTCCTCTTCACTTTGGCAGTGGTTTTTGTCAGTGCCACATGCAGTAGATCCAAGGTGTTAGATTTTAACTCTTCTTGATGTGAAGTCATGAAGAGGCTTTAAAATTTTACAGTGGATTAAGCTTCAGCACAAAGATTTCAGCCCCCAGCACATTCCTAGCATTAAGTATGAGTGTAGAAGTCAGAGCCAGTGTGGTTTTTTGGTTTGTATTTTGAATAAGATGAAGTTGTTGCCCAGTTAAGGGAGGGACAGACTGGCACCTGGGAAGCAACAGGGGATTTCTTTAAAGAGCCATAAATATTTTAAACACAGTCAGTGCATAGGACATTTCACTCTGTACAATAAAAATTGGTCCTGAAGTAGCTGAAGCTGTCCTTTAACAGAGGAACAAATTCTTCAAGAATTTAGTGACAAAGTAACAAGATACATAGCAGAAAGAAAAAGCTTACTTTAGTTGCCATCACATTACCCAGCAAAAATATGCCCTGTGTCTTCTAACTCCTTAATCCAAGAGGTGAAGTTAACTGTCTTTCATAAAGACAAAAGCTTTAAGGCCTGGAATAGCAAAATAAAACAATGGATTAGGAAGAGGACACAGAGCTTTGTCTATCTTAAAAAAAATAGCAAGATGACAAGTTCTGTTGTCTGGAATGTAGACACTGTTTTCAGGTTTAAAATACAGTGCAAAGTCCATGTTTGAAGGGATAATGTTAGACAGAAGAACTAAAGCTGTTTAACAGTACAAAACTCAGGATGAGTGTCACTCATTGTACTGACTGACTGTTGTACATTTTACTTTGGGCCATGAAGCCACACCAGCAAATTTCCCTGTTTGGCTGTCTGTGCATTCAGAGACTGCTTTTATCTAGGAATTTGGGTGGAGTTTCTTAGAATAAAATAAATATGAGAATATATTCTTTACTCAAGGTCTGAAAAATTGATACTGAAGGTACAAGGTCTGACTCAGCCTGTCAGTGTCCCTTTAAATACAGGTAATCTCTACCTCCACCCTTTCCCACTGCACCTGCCTAGGAAGGCTTAAAAGGGACTTAGAGGCTGTAAGAACATAATTATCCTGTGGCACATTCAGGGGAGAACATGAAAGACTACAGGCACAGAGTGGGCCTGAAACCACCATGGGCAAGATCTTTAAAGGCAGCTGTACCAAATACATCCATGATCATTCAATTCAGTTTCTACATTCAGCAGCAGGTGAATGTAGACCAAATACTTTCAAGTTTAATGCAGCAGTGACATCTTTTTTCCTCCTCACCCAGGTCCTGCTGAGTGATACAAACTTGGTAAATGAAACACTCAGTGGTGTGAAGAGTCCCTTTTTATAGAAAATCTTCTTGCTCAGACAGTTCCTATAGAGAGCCCAGTGCTTCTCCAAAGTGGATTTTTTGTCCAGCTTTGAGGTTGAATCTGAAGTCCTTGGGTGCCTCAAAGATTAGTACAATTGTAGAGCCTAAGTTAAATTCCCCTAAATGTTCCCCTTTCCTCATTGGAATTCCCTCCTTGTTGTTGTTGGATATGAAGCTGAAGTCATTGTAGGAACCTTTAGAGTAACTTGGACTGTTCGTGTGCAAGTCCTGTACAGAGAAGGAAGAAGAGAAGGGTTTACTGGAGGATTTCAGTGCTCTGTATTCATTCATCACCACAGCTGTGGATTGTACACACACACATTTTCCATGCATAAACTCACAGTTCAAAGGTGCAATAGCAATATTTAAAAAATTTTCTATCTTGGAGACAACATTGTTTAGATCAGTCTTACAATATCACTACTGTGAAACACCCTAATTTCAGGGTAATAAGATTTTTTTTAAATTTTGTTATGCTGCACCAACCTCAACCATTAACACCAGGAAGGTGCCTGCTATGACTCTGCTCACCTGGTCAAAGTAGATGCGGATGGAGCCCACGTTTGTTGCTCCTACAGCTGTTAATGAGAAGAAGCCATGTTTCCAGTCACCTGTAAGGACAACCCGCTCATTGTGGCAGAACAGTTCCTTGATCCAGCGAGCAACTCCAGGATTGACAGACATCAGAGAGCCTGAAGAAGTGAGAAAATATTCAGGTTAGCTTGTCTGGTTTGTAGCAATATTGTAATGCCACTCAGATCATGTTTTCAGTGTAACTGGAGCTGATCCAGTAAACAACTCTGTCAGTTATTTGTAGGAAGAGAGGCAAGTGCCAGGCAGAGCAAATGAAAGAGAAGTCTGTGCTGAAAACAAAGGGGTCACAGAAGGATGTGTGTGGTGGGTCAGTCTCTCTCTCATGGTGTTTGAAACCAAATCCAAATACTTAGGATTTTGCTAGATACCAAGAAGTAAAATATTTTTATCTGCAAGAACATCTGATCCCAGCTCCAGTAGTGTAACTGTTCGGTTGCATTTTCTTTGCCAAGCACAAGCCGAGATCATACTTTGGGATACTGTTTGGTGTGATCTGCAGAACTATCTATATTTCAGGTGCAAACTGAATAAACAGTGTTTAGGAACAAATCAGGTCAGCGTGACTCAAGGGGTACTTCAAAACTCAAACAGTTTAAATACAATAATTACAAATTATCATAATTTGTAATTATTACAAACAATTACAATACAATAATTAATGAATACAATAATTAAAAATTATTGTAATTTGTAAATTACAAATACAAAATACAATATATTACTGTTTTCACCATTTTTATGTGATTTGCTCTGGTACACTATACAGCTGCAAAAGTCATTACTGTTTGAGACAAATCACTTTTCTACCATTGTCTATCATGTTACTGTACAACTTCTGCACTGGTGTGTCTCGTTCTGCAGAGGCCCATAGCAGTGCTCCCCTCCATAGCTGCTCTGCAGTTTCCTAGGAACAGAAACCAACCTGGGAAATGCCGTCGATGTGACACTGTCCAGTCCGTGGGTGAGTGGAAGCAGTGATAATCCCCTGGTGCAAGGTAAATTACACAGTGGTAGAGCTCATTCCCCTCCTTTGTGACCAGTTGTTGCTGAAAAGTGTTACCAGGTGGGGCTGCAGAAAAAGCAGGAAAAGGAAGGGGTTAAAGATATTCCCCCTGAAGTCATCTACCAAAGCCAGGCAGTTTGTGTTAAAGCCAGTGCAATAGTAGAGGTTAAATGCAGCCCACATGGCTTGGTGAGACTACAAAAACATAGGTTTCATGCAGAAATCAAATATTTCCAAATGTTCCTTTCCCTTTACAAGAAAATTAGATCCTGGATTGTTTCAATCACGATGAAAAATTTTATTTTGGAGTTTGCCCTTCCTTAAGCAAAACAGCAGAAACTGAAATCCAGTACAACAGAATTTTTATTAAAGCTATCCTTTAAGAACACAATTTGTGAAGAGTCCTCTAAGTCATTAGAGGGGTAGTGCTTGAGCTACTCCTTGTTAAGGATTAGCTTATCCAGTTTTTGCTAGCCAGTGCTTGGGCCCATTTCAGTGTGACAGCAGGAGTGCTGCAGCCATGGTACAGCAACAAATCTTGGATTTAAGTGTAGGAACCAAGCAACTCAGTTCAGCTCATCAGAATGAGCCTTGTATAAAGCCATGGTGAGAAAGAGAAAAACTAGAACAGCGATATGGTTACCCTCAAATAAAACAAACCAAAAATCAGACCTGCTTTTCTGCTTTTGTTCCTGACAATGCAAGAAAATGTTACTTTTTTTCATCTCTCTTAGTCTTATGATTTCTGAGAACACTGCAAGGGCACAGCAGAATAAATGCAGAACTGACACAGAACTCACCCTGGCTAAAATGCATTTCGTCTGTGGAGATGCGAGGTCCCAAGAAAGATTCCAGAGAATAAGTGACCCCTTTTACTTGCTCCACTTCACAGTTTTTTACCTGTCCAAAATTAAGGATCTTTCCATCAGAGGGACTAATCTACAGCAAAGAGAAAAAATGGAAACAGTTAGCAGTTCATTAATTGCTCAAGAGCTCTGGGGGCTGAGGGAAGTGGCAGTTCTGGGTACAGCTCTCCCTTCCCTTCACTCACCACACTGTGCACACCGCAGACTGGCCGTGCCTGTGGTTTCAGCTTCCTGCGGAAGAACTCGCTGAGGTTCCTGTAGTGATGCAGATCCTCCACAGCTGCCTCCTTCATGTTGACCCCGAAGGTCCAGATGTACAGGCTGTACACCGGCTTCCGCAGCCACGTGGGCAGCTCCACCTGGTTCAGGCGACCCCAGGCTCGGGAGAGCAGCCGCGTTGGGACCGACTTGTACAGGGCAACCTGAAGGGAGAATTGCAGCAGATCAGTGTCCTCCCCACCGATGGCTTCCTTGCTTCTCCTCTAACACAGCAAGGACCAACTGTTCCTGCAAATCCCTCCCTTGAATTCATAGGTTACAAGTAGCGTTTAAGGCAGCAAAAAATTCACACTGCGCTTCATCCTCATTCCCTCCATTCTGGTGAGAATAGACAAGAGACAGGATGAAACTTAATATAACTTTAAAGTGAAGCCAGAATTTCCACTCCTTTGCAGGCTGAAGCTCCACATTAAAGTTACTGGAAACTGCCCAATGCAAGGCTTACAGAAAAAAGAGACATTGCACATATTCTAGTAGAACGCTAATCAGAAAGGTTTAATATGACCAATATATATATTTTTGTGAGTAACTTAATGAAAATTGCCTGGAAGATAACTTCTCAGTGTTGGATGACGTGCTCCTCAGATGCAGCTGCTACTGAGGGTGTTTCTCACACCCAGTACTGTGTGTTGTATGCTCTAATGACACAAGTACCATCAAAGAAATGTACCCACTGGATGCAGCTACACAGGTTAAACTTATGCCAGTCTTATTCCTTCTCTCACAGCAATAGGAGCTGCTAATTGCAAGAATATAAAGTGCCTTTATTTCTGTAGAAATACACCTTTAGACTTGCACCAAAACCCACGTTTTAGCAAGGAAAACAAATGAAAAAAAGTTGGCAAGAGGTATCTGCTGTTGATGGAAGTGAAGAGATGACAACATCTTTCTGTTGATAATTCCAGCAGACAGCTCTTCGGGGGTTTGTGGTACTTGCTGTCAGCCAGGAAGCTCACATGGCTATGATGTAACTGGGGGAAGCTGGGGAATATGGACCAAGTGAACTGAACACTCTGAAACCAGTTTTGTTTCTGGAAGTGATGATCTGCTGATTGGTGCTGTGTTTTTGAACAGCTACATTCAATTTTCAGCTAAAAACTTGGGATTTTTCTTAGTGAGAGACATTTATTCTCAATCATATCCTTCATGATTAAGTCTTGCAAAACACAGCCATAAACACAAACATGCACTGGCTCCATCATACCAAATACAGCAAATTAAAATTTCACTTACAAAACACTATCCTGTGTACATACAGGGATATTTCAGAAAGGAAGTACCAACCTAATCTTACTTCAGATAAAACCTTCTAAGTGAACAGTACTTTAGGTTATATAAGCTGAAGTACTGAAGAAAAATATGTTGCCATTTTATTTGACATGCCCTACACTGTATTAATTTCTAAAAATTAACTTTGCTGTTTTCTACCAACACCGAAAATGTACATACAACTATAAAATCACACCAACTGTCAAAAGCAGTATTTCCTAGCAGCCCCTTCTCTTCAAAGGAGCCTGGTTTTCAAGTTGATGGGCTCAAACAGAACAGATGTTCAATAAAATAGGCTTAAGAATGGCAATTTTGTTTCTGTTTGCAATCAAAATACTTCCTTGCTTGTTGGATTCTGAAATTGCAAATTACTATGTGCAAGGCATCCCATACCCTGCTCTCAACAGTGTCAGAGCAGAGATTTGTGTATCATTTGGACATACTGGACTACAAATGCTCAATAAACTCGAGGAACAAACCCTCTTGGTGTGAAAATAACAAAAACCAAGAGACCATTTCAATAGGACCAGGAAAAGAAACTTGCCAAAGTGTCTTTCTTGTCCTAGCCCTGATACTGTGAGGTGACTGAATTCCTTCAGACGTTTCTGTTGACTTTCCCTGTCTGTTAAAGGACAAAGTAATTCCCTGCTCCTGAAAAAGTCACTTGTCTGTGAAGCAATTAATCAACACAACCACAAACAGTAAAAACTACACAGAAGCACAAACTGCACCTCTGCTTTCACACCAGTGAGCACCAGGCTGTCCTGCATGCAGCAACTCTTCCCCCCAGCTGCTGCCAGCTCCTCCAGGACACAGCTCCCAGCCGCGGCGCGCGAGAGACCTGCTGACACTTACCCTGCTCACAGGCCTCCATCCCACTCTGGTCAAGGGTTTAAGAGCACCGAAAGGCAGAAGGTAATAGAGAATAGTCAGAGGCCAAGAACGGAGTTTCAGAGCAGGCCTAGACATACAGCTCAGCTGGCCCAACCTTCGCCTCAGGGCCAGCTGGGGGAATTGCAACCTGAAAGATTACATACACAACATCAGAGGGTCAGGCATCTCAGCTGCAGAGCCACCAGCTACAGACAGCTGGGTGAGTTATTCCTGCTAAATGTTTCTTAATCTTTGATACTACAAGTCTTTACGCCTTTATTTTGATCAGTTCTTCCCCTTCCCAAAACAGAAGAACAGTTTATCTAAAAAATAAAAGTCTTCAATCCAAACAATGGTGTTCACCCTCATAGGTCATGTTACATGAATGACACCCTCAAAAATTAAAGGTAAGACCAGTATCCAGGTCTTAAAGCCTTCACTGAGTATCCTGGTTCCAAATAGGGAACATGTGGACAAAGCCAAGATTTCTACTACTGCACAATAATCTAGTCTCCATAGCCCAATAATCAACTCCCCTGCCTCATAACCAGCTGCATCTCTGACTTTTTTTGTTACATGGATGTCCTGACTGAGAGAGACCTCATTTTGCACAAATGGCCATGGGGAGAAGTTGACCTTCTAACTCTCACAGAGAAAAGCTACTCAGCTTCTTGGCAGAGGACAGACATCAAGGGCCTCAGTTCAGACCCTCGCAGGAGGTCTGGATGCAAAACCCTTCAGGTCCCCATTTATTCTTTGGCTTCTACTCATGAAAAAACCACTGGCATTTCCAAGGTCACATTTTCAAATGGGAATCTGTCTGCCTGAGGGCAAACTATTCAAATGACTGACTGAACTCCTGGCTAGGAAATTGTTCTGCAACCAGGACACAGTGACGTGCACACACAAACTGAAGTGGCACAGTCTGGCTGTTCCCAATGGCTCGCTCTCTCAAGGGATCCTGTGACATTAAAGAAGAACTACAAAATACTGTGTATGTCTTTCTGAGATGGAAAAAAGCTGAGAATTTAAAAGGAAATTTTCTTGCCAACTTGTTATTTTCAAAACTTGGATCAGAATTAAAATATCAGGCAGACAGGTATAACTGTCACCACTTTGGGATGCAAGATGGTGCTTTTGGCTCAGAGATGTTTTTTCTGCAGTGAACACAACTTCTTTCCCATGAAGAACTGATAAACAGAGAATGATTTGTGCATCTTAATGCAACAGGGAAAAAGAACCCTGAGCAGAAGTGCTGTCTTAGCAGAGTTAATGCAGGCTTCTCAGCAGGAGGTAGGACTGACTTGACATGGGAATAGGAAGGGACACTTCACTTTCTGCCTCCCATCCCTACCACCCAGCAGCCTGCAAGGGCTGGCAGGCCAGGAGCAGGGTTGAGTCCCGTTCTCCCCCTCCCGCTGCTCTCCCCCCCTTCACTGCAGTCGCTCCTGGACCAATCCCTGCAGAGCTGCATCGCGTTGGAGCCCTCGGGCTTCTCACTGCCTTGGCCTGGTTTCAGAGCGGCCCCTCAACTAATTTTTCCATTCTCCTAGTGAAAGCGAGTAGAAGGGAAAGGAATGGAAGCTTCCCCATTCCCCTTGTCATGGAACATCATGCCCTTCTCTGCCAATACAATGTATAAGGAGCTTTATAGTAATTAGGCCAAACAAAAGCTTCGCAGATGGCTCCCGCTCCTTCTGCCCAGAAACCCTCCCAGCCTCCCTCCCGCTTCAGTCACCATTCCTGCAAAGCAGCAAACACTGAACAGTACCTGAAACGAGTTCTCCTACTTGGTGTCCCACCGGCAGAGCCAGCTGGGCCTGGACTCCCCAGCTGTGGGTGCTGGTCCCCGGCACAGCTGCTGCTGCCGCCGTTCCCTGAGCGCAGCCTCCGGACATGAATTTTAACTTTGTGGAGGTTGTAGCAAGAGGGTGGAGGGTTAGATAAAGCTTTGTAGTATCTCACCATTTCCCTGTGTGGAGCTCTGGTCCCTGCAGGGTGTTTGACTGACACATCGTCAGGGTGACGGCTGTTGCAAGGCTCAGTCTTTTTTCCTCTACCTCTCTTTCCTTTGCTTGCTCCGGCACAGGAGAGAGGACACGGCGTCACAGTTCCTAAATCCCCCGCTGGTTTGTCTCTGGATTCCCTCTCTGTTTCCCACTTGAATCTCTGCTACGAGAGTTGCAGCTATTGCAAACAAATAGGCATTGTGTCACATTTCAACATCCCACTACAAAGCCGACTCTGCACACGATAAAAATGAGCTGTCCATATGAGCAGTCCTTGCTTCTTGCTAGTCCGGGTGGCCATTGAAACACAACTCCCCAAAAAACACCCTGCCGTCTGTCCCAGGCTGCTGGGCAGCAGTGCTCTAGTGAGAGGAGCAGCCAGCTGGCCTCGCACAGCTCATCCCAGCGCCAGCCTGAATGCAAGACTGGCAGGAGGAGTGGGGCGGAGAAGAGGAGGAGGAGGAGGAGGAGATAACTCCCAGCTTCAATTCTGCAGTGCAGCAGCTGCTGCTAAGAATTCTGGACTGCTGGGCACCAAAAATCCTTTCCTGATCTTAGTGTCCAGCTTGTAAAGAACAAAACAGAAGGGAAAGGAATGTCCTTCTATTTTACAGCTCTTGCCAGACACAAACATCCATCTGCGGAAGCCTCCTTCCATCTCAAAATACTCAGTTAAGGGAACAGGTAATGGACATTCTTCTACACAAAACCAGATACATACAAAATAAGCCAGTTTTAAGGCCAGCTTGAGAACTGGGTATAAAAAAGTGTTATGTGTCTTATTATGTGACTTTTAGTACTGTCACAGTTTTTATGTCCAGTAGAACTAAAATACAAAACAGGAAAGGAAGCTGGTTTGATTTTTAAAGACCTAAGACTGCACTGTTTCTAAGCATTCTAAATATACAGAGAAATCTCTCTCTTTAATCCTAAAGAACACACCTCAAACATTGGTGTCTGGGTTTGGATTGTTAAGGGAGCCCTGCTTCAAGAAGTGGAAGTCAGATAACTACATGTCACCTCAGGATTAAACCAAATACTCAGAACAATTTCAGGGCTGGGCTGACTCTCTAGTGGTTCCATTTCACTTCTGCTTTCTGCTAAACCTGGGTTGAAAACAAACAAAAAAACCCCTCCTTGTTTCCAAAGCTTTCTAAGCACCATGAAAACTCTGTGGCTAACAGAGTAGATCAAAAAGAGCACTGTTGCTCTGATTGAGGGAAGGCTTGTATTGTAATAGGGATAAGGCAGGAGGAGTGGGAGGACCAGCAGGAAAAGCTAGAATTAACTAGTTAATGGCATCCCAGTCAGGCCTCAAAAGGAAAATACTCAAGCAGTAATTGTGTATTTTGATTGGCCTTCAACTCCAAATATTACAGATACTCCCTAGAACCACCTCTGGAGAACCTGCATTAGAGTATTTTTCTCAGGAAGAAAACTTCTATATGGTATTCTGTGTGTCAGATAGTTCCAAGACCTGTGTGTATGTTGTTCTAGATGAATTTTAACAACTTCAAAGTTTAAAATATCCCAGCTAACTGAAAGAAGGGAAATTTAAGATCAGTGAAAGCATTCAAAATATACTCCTTCCTCCCTGAGCCTTGTGCCAACTCTTTTTGTATTCCTATTTAAAATATCATTTAGTCTTTCTCTGGCTGGCACAAGAAACTCCTACACAACAAAATGATGCCATCTGTATAGTAAAATGCTGAAAGCAGTTAGCCAAAATCCTATCAAAATTCAAAGAAATGCAACAAGGAGTACATGGGAGCTAGTTCTTGATTCATTGGGAACGTTAGGAATTACCACTCGTAGACAATTTTAAACAGCAACAAGCTAAATCCTCAACATTGTTTCAAAAGAAACTTCATCAGACCAAGACAAAATTATTTTTCACACTGAACACGTGTGTTCACAGAACTGTGGGGAGAGAGTTCGTTTGGCACTGGTGGAGCTGGGCAGGAGCAGCAGAGCAGCCAGGGTGGAACCCTGCTCCCCTTCCCATCTCCTGTGCAACCTTCACCCTCACAGAGAGAGAGCGAGCAAACACATCTTATCACTTTTGTGTCAGTGCTCTTCCCTTCAGGATAAGGGAGATAACCCACAAGCCCTTTCAGTAAAATTCAGTTTTATCCCTCAAAAGGCTTTTATGGAATTATTATATTCTCAGCTGAGTAAGCCTGATTCTAAGGAAGCATGTAGCCAGATAAAACAGCTGACCTGCTCCTTAAAAAAAAACCCAGACACTGAAATGTTCTACAGCCTGATGAAGTGGGCAGTACCACCCTTCAGTCCAAAACAAAAAATGTGGGGCAAGAGAGATTCCTCTCGAGGAAGGGAAAAACATGGGTGTTAGAAGTTTTTTTCCTCCACTTCTTAAAAAACTGCACACAGCCAAGTAAGAAGTTTCTCCTAAGTTCTGTTCTATTCCCCTCATTATAGTCACCAAGACGCCACCACCTGAGTCCTGCTGAGGTGCTGACATGCCTGGCCAGTTGCCATCCCTGCTGTGGCTGCCCCAGAAGTAACATGCAGTTCCTACAGTGTAAGAAGGCTGAAATGAAAAATCCACCCTGAATTTTCCTGCTTTCCACGGGGAAAGGAACAAGAACTGCTCATCCAACAGCTCATGACAGAGAAACTCATATAATGGCATCTCAATAGCTGGACCTCTTGGGATGCAGGTAGTGCCCACAGCCTATATCAGCTTAGAGATCATCAGCTTAGATAAAAATCTTTAAAATTTTTGGTTTGTAGGGGTTGCACACCATTACCAAACTCCCTCACCTGTCTGAGCTCACCAGAATCCATGCTGGGCAAAAAAAGCAGCAGTTTCCAGCAAGTATGAATCCATACAGAATTACTATCTCATAGAGAACTGCTAATCTGCCAGCTATGCAACAGGTCCTACTCTGTCAGCTCAAATAAGCATCAGATCCAGTGACCTCTTTTAATTACTTGTCAAATAGTGAACTACTCAAGTCCTTCTCTCAAGTTTTAAAAAACAACAGAGTAAGGCAGTTGCAAGAAAGACTAATATGCAATTGAACTGCAAACCTGCAGCCTCGGTTTTAAACCGTAAGCATGAATCGTTAGGCTTGGAATGTGCTGGTCAGCGTTCAAAGTCCTCTGGTCAAACTTTCTACATTTGGTCACAGAACTACTGTTTAAAAAATGCACTGAGTGCATCCCAGCGCCAATACCCAAGGGCCAGCAAAAACTACGGTCTTGCGCTCAGGGGCGCGGTACTCGGTGAGCGTTCCTTTCCCAGCAGTAATCACAAACATCATCCCTGCTCCCACCCAACCTCCGCAGGCAGCCCGGCAGGACAAACGCTGGATGCTGCACACCCAGGCAGCAGCTCCCGAACTGCGAGGGCACACAGAACGGCCCCGGTGCTGCAGGGAAAGCTGAGCGCTGCCAAAGCCACGGGATTACCTGCAGCGCCCGCGGCCGGCTCGGCTCCTGCGGGAACAGTTTCCAACGGGACCGCTTTCCGCGGACTGACAGCGCTGCCTGATGGACCGCGCCGTGCTCGGCTGCATCTACCCGTGGTGTCCGAAATTCTTTACTTCTCATTTGAAAAAGCCTTTCTAGACATTTTCTCTTCGTGTATTAGGAAAAACCCTTTTTATTGCTTTCCCCTAACTTTACAATGCTGCTTCAGTTAGTTTGTATAAACAGAGCAGGGAATAAAATAAATATTTTAGGCTAGCCTAACTGGACGACTGGGGTCTGAATTCTGTGAAAAAAGCCTGTTATACAGTCTCAAAGATCTTCTGCGAAGCAAGGAGATACAGCTTTATTTATTTTAGAAAGTGACATGAAATTTGATGGCACCCTTTTAATACTTTGTAGTAGTAATTTCCAATTAATGGTTTAAAACAACACTCTCCAGTACCACCTCCTACTACCGCCCCCATTATTTTAGCTTAAGATATCGGTAAAGCAAACTCTCAGCACCATAAAGGATCTCTAAAGGAAGCATAAGCCGCGTTACATCCTCCCCACAGAGCAGCACCCGGCGGAAGCTGCGCAAGAGCTCCGACGCTCCTCGGCCCCCTGCCCTCCCCGCGGGACTCTGGACTGCGATAACGCTGGTCCAGCAGACTCATTCTGTTTCAATCTACTCAGAGATTACTCATGAGTCGACTTTGGAGCACCACTGAAACTTTCAGCAAGCCAAAGTGAATCACCCCTTGACCGCCAGCCCTCGCACATCTGCCCTGCGGTGCGGTAGCCCTTACCTGATGCTCAGGAAAGTCTCCTTCGTCCCGGCTGTCCGCCTTCACTCGCCAAAATACGACACCGACCCTTCCTTTCAAAGCAGTTTTCAGACACGTGAACAAAGTTCAGCGGGCTGCGAACCCCCCCCGTCGCACAGCCGCCCTCCCGCCCCGGTCTCCGGGCAGGCCCCGGCCCGGCGGCCCCGCTCCTACCTCCGCCGCTGGTACCGCTGGTACCGCGCTCCGCTGCTGCCGCCCGGCCCGGCCCTGAGGAAGCGGCGCGGCCGCGGCCCTGCCCCGCCTCCAGCCGCTGCTCCGCGGCTCCTGCCCGCACCGCCCCGGCCCCTTCAGAGGAGGGGCCAGGGCAGCACGAACGCAAACGGACAGACCGGAGGGCTCCGAGCACGGCGGCACTCTTGGGGATCAGCGCTCAACTTCCCAAAGAGCCGCTGGCCCGGACAACGGGGAAGGAAGGAGACTGGTCGGGGAGCAAGGCACCGATGCGGATTCCGTGCATTGCACAACTTCCCACCGCGTGTCCGGGTGTGGGAACACAATCCCACACAGGCACTGGCAACCAAAGCAGCAAAGTGTGCTCCAGTCTCACAAACTGCTTCCGAAACGCTCAGAGAAATTGCTCCATAAGCCCAGCAAAGCACTCAGGAAGATGCATAGGAAGTTGCACGAGATAGAACAGACTCATCTAGTCAAATGGCCTTCCCACTGTTTAGATTTTAAAAAACCCCATAAAATCCAAACTGGTTTTATTTGGTTCCATTTTCCAAGATAACTGAAAAAAACATTTACACCATTGCCGCCTTTACACAACCTGATGCCGTTGAAATGTCTCTGGTTTTAACATTTTCTGACCATCTTTCTTGTGTACTTTGAACCACTTCACAAGGATTTTTTTTATAATTGCATAGATGTGCCAATAAAACTCCAAGCATCAGAATCTGGGAGCATGAATGAGGAATAAGAGACCAACTGGAGATTATATTTCTTCTTTAGTCGAATTAAAAAAAAAAAAAAAAAAACCAAAATAAAACAACACATATTCTTCCATTATTAGCTTTTTCTTGAACTTGAAACACGCCTCTTACCATAACACTGAATGTCTCCTCTGGGCCAAGAAAAGCACCTCTGTATTGTACTGACATATGAACTCCAGTATCCTCTGTTACATAAATACAAGCACTTCCTTGACATCAGTAGGAAAGACTGTTGTTCTTACCTCTGAGAATCCTGATCCTAAACCTATGCTCAAACACTCTCCTGGTGAATTAAGTTGTTTTTAAAAACTGGCCCGTGACAATAAACTGCAGTTTGAACACTTCAGCTCACTTCCAGAGACCTTTACTGTGCTTTCCTGGCACGTGTCACTGCTTTTTCCTTGCACAGAACAGAGCAAACTACAGGAGCAAAGGACGCCTGTTCCACTCTCAAAACACTGGTTCATCTGCTCTCTCAGTTCCTCCAAACTCCTTCACTGGCCAAGCCTTCCCACAGTAATTCTTTGATCCTGTATCAACAGTGCCCCGTGCCCAGGTAAGATGAAGCAAAATGCCTCTAGTTAGCATATGAATGGCATGCCATGCATGCAGATCCCAGCCAGGAAATGTCCTGTGACAGCAAAGATTTGGAACAATAAGCTTCCATTCGTCTGATAAACATCTACCTGTCTCCCTCCAAGCCCTCTGCTTTACCTCATCTAATTAAATGAAAGCTGATCCCCACTGGTATTCACAGTAGGAGACACTAAGGCGTTAATCAGCTCAAGCTATTAGCGACGGAATGTCTCTAAGAAAACTACACAAAGAAAATGTCTGTGCTAAAGAAACAGTAGTTCTGTCTGTCCCTGTGGAGAAACTTAAGGGACACTTGACTTGCACCAGATTAATTCCACCCCCCCCCCCCATTCTTTTATGAAGCTCAAGCAAAACAAAACCACACAGAAGTGTACCGACTCTGTAATTCAGTCAAAAATGATGCACACCTCAGTGAGGATCCCTGCATGTGCCTCTGCTACGGGGAGAGCTTCCCTGCCAGCTCAGCAGGGTTAACACCAATTACTATCTGTCTTCTCAGAAGCAGGGCAATCTGCCTTACACACAGAGCTGGCAGGTGGAAGATGGTCCACATTCCCACAGGAACACGAGGCTGGTACCCTGGAATCAGCACTTCAGAGCAGCAGGCCCAGCAGTGAGGGCACATGCACCAGTTCCTTGTTCTGTTATTACTCTTTCAAAGCCCATTCAATCACACTTGGTCTCTTTGCCTATGCAAAGGCTTATTCTGCCCTAAAAAGAAGACAACACCCCCCCTTCCACACCCCTTAGCATGATGCAAAAAACCGAAACAATGGAAAATGATAGGTCAGAAAAAAACCCCACTTCACTCTACAATAAAAAGGAACAATACAGCTCTTATTTTTCTTGAATCCTTCATTGTTTGGAATTTTCTTGTAATGTGTGACCACGGTTTCTCTTTGCTCTTATTTTTCTTGAATCCTTCATTGTTTGGAATATTTCTTGCAATGTGTGACCACTGTTTCTCTTTTTCCTCATAACTATTGAGCTTCCTTTCCCTCCCGCAGAAGCATTCAACAGAACTCAAACACATCAGGAAGGACTGGGATGTCTTGTTAGCCTCTCCTACTAGGGTCTGCTGCATTTGGGGCCCTGCTTATCAGTTTGAAATTCTTTGTGTGTTTCCCCAAATACCTTAAAGCTGTTTCATCAAAAGCAACACTCTTGGCTTCACCAAATAATAATAAACCAGCATATCAGTATAATGAAAGAAGGCAAATGCAATAAGAGAATTACCCAATTTCATACCAAAAAGTAGGAACAGTAACAAAAGAATATTTGTTTTCAAGCACCAAACTGAATTGACATTGCCTTGTTAAATAAATACTCTGTGGACACTTACCAATTTTTTTTCAATCAGAACCCATTTGAAACAAACTTCAGCAAGAAAAGAATATACAGAAGACAGATTTACAGACAGATTCCTCAGGAGCTATCACAGGCTAAGCTGTTAGCATCTGGACTGTCTGGATCATATCTGGTTTTGGTCACTACAGAAATTTAGGGATTTCAGCCTAGTCTCCCACAGGCATGTGGCCAAATCACTCACACACTGGCAGTGTGCTCAGGAATGCAAAGAAACTGGAGTGCCAGAGGTCACGCTAAAGCATCTCCTACACAACCTTACAGTCCTAGAATCTTTAACTCCTTGCCTTCAGAAGTGGCACTGAAGCCGGCACTCAACTGGCTGTCTGGAAGAACAGCACATATATTTTAAACTGTCCAACGTGGAGTTGAACAATATACTTAATACTTCAAAGGCAATACAGTAGTTACAGGAAGTCATAAAGTATTTACTTCAATACTGCAATGGGTGTTTGACCTATGAGTACGATACACACCATCTGCAATTCCACAATAATTTCTCAACTCCTTGGAATCCAAAAGGAAAAGGCAAAAAACCCTCAGGATCAAGAGCAATTACAGACCTAAGTGGAAAAAAACCCCACAAAACTATAAAAAAAAGGTCTTCTGTATATTCATTCAAGAAACAGGTACGATTTTATTAACCAGGCATTTATTCCATCTCTGCTTTCTTGTAAAGCACATATGGGTCAGCCACACTAAAAGATGGAGGTGTTGCTGGCAGTTCCTAAAGTATCATGACTTCAGCCAAATGATTTACTGAAGTGACAGAAACTTCAGATCCATGAGTTGTCAAGAGCATGTTGTCAGTAGAGGCAAATTAAAGACTGCTGTGTTGAAATGGAAGCAAAGGAGCTTCACATCAAATGTGGCAGAAGTAAAATTGCCCCGATTTTCTTACCTCCCATTCACTTGCAAGCTTCACAGGCACCTCTATGCCCCTCTTCTCCAGCTGTTCCAACTTGTAATCCTCATATTTTCTGTATCCTGCATATCCTCCACCTGTAGCTACCAGAACATGGAAGGGACGCAGGCGGAAGACTTGTCCCACTGGAGCAGTGTGAAACTTCTTCCTGTCTGTAACAGAAA